CTTTCAGTGAAACTTTCAGTGAATAACTCCTCGATTGTTATGTTCCCCTGATACTTTTACAAAAATTTTGAATTTTTCACTTGCAGTGAAAATGTCAGTGAATAGCTCCTCGATTGTCATGTTCTCCTGATACTTTTTCAAAAATTTCGAATTTTTCAATTGCAGTGAATACCTACCTAAAGAAAAAATTGGAATGATTAAAAAAAAAAATGAATGACGGCGGAATCGAACCCGGTCCGTCGGCGTGCTAGCCGAGCACGTTACCGCTAGGATAACGTATTATTATAAAAATAATTTTTTATTAGGAGTATATATTTTCAATAAGTTTCGTTTTCAAAAATGTTGAATTTTTCAATTTCACCGCATATCTTTTCGATTTTTAAATATTCAGTTTTTAAACGATATTTCGATTGATTAGCCATTTAAAAAAGATAAAATTGTAATTATTTTGAAAAAATAAAAAATGAATGACGGCGGGATCGAACCCTGGCCGTCGGCGTGGTAGGCAAGCACGCTGCCACCTAGACAACGCGCTCTATGCATAAATAAATTTTCATTACTAGTATATCTTCAATCTATTGAATAATTTTTTTCGTTTGAAAATTCACAAGATGTGGCTTGCCCCTTCCGCTCATTCTACAGTCGGTTAAATTTCAGTTAAACAAATAAAAAACAAAAATCATTCATACCGCAGAAAATAAAATTCACCCCGTCGAATTGATGGACACCCCAGCATTGCGTGTTGCGCCCTCCCTCTCTTGGGGTGCAGTACTACGATGCCACTGGGGTCACTCAAACCCCCAGAACTGAGCCTCTACATTAGTTAATCCTTTTTGAGTCAACCAATCGCAGAACGGCAGATGAAAATTTAAAATATTCAATCTCCGACAGGGGGCCAATTAATTCTTTAATATCATTTCACCGTGTTCTTTTTAATTGAAGGCAAGATAACTGGATAGGTAAATAACGATTGACATATTTTTTTAAAAACTGTTATTATTATTAATCGTAGTAATATGATTATTGACAATGACGCGGCTATGTGCACATTAAAACACCTTATTTTTTATCTTACAAGACCAGCTTTCTTGTACACTATTTACAGTCAACTAAATAATCTTAATCCATAGTATATATAATATTTATATAATATTTCTTGCTTCTTTGCTTTATGTCACTTGATTTATAATAAAACTATCTTGTAAAATGATTAAATTCATTAGTTCATCATTGTTACAGGTGTATTTTCTCTTCATCTATTCCTTTAAACTCTTAATTTATTATCGTCATTATTTCAATTTTCTCATTTTATATGCTTAAGAAAGAGAAAACAATTGTTCAGTTAAACAAATACATCTCACGCCTCATCACCATAAATCAGTTGATTACCTCAGGTTTTCTGTACAATATATAGGCTCTTAAAACTCTTCAATCTTATCACTGAGAATATTTATTTACAATTACGAGTGTAAGGGTAGTATTGATGGGGTTTAGAGGATTTATTTATTTTCTTCATTTTATTTAATTACTTTTTTTGTTTTAATGCTGAGTTCATAGTCTCATTGAGTTTGTAAAAAAACGACGAATGAACAATTGTCAACGGAAAATTTGTAGAAAGTTATTATTATAATATTTTTTTTTCATTAAAATTCGAGACAGGCGCTCGAGAGGGTTTACTAAAAATTCACTCCTCGTTATCCTAGATTTGTAAAGTTTTTGAGATTGCTTCGAATATATTTCGTGGGACAATCTTTGGTGTATCGATTACGCCTCAATAGTTATCCAAATATCTCGTTTTGTGAATTTTTTATGCATCAATCTCTATGAAACTATAGAAACAAGCCGATGGAAGATATGCTAATTTTTCTCAAGTCCATCTCGACTCCAATCCTTTAGTCATTCGATCTGTACTTGAGTCGTTCTGAGGACTCGGACAGAATGTCAGGGCTTCGTTCCTTCGGAAGATAAAAAAGATCGCACGGTTGCACAGCCGTTTTTGTGAAAAAAACGAAAAACTTAACATTGAGGATTAGTTCATTTTTTTTTTTCATATTTTTATCATTTTGTTCAATAGAAAGTAACGAAGAAGCATGTGAAAAATGTGAAAATATTGAACGTTATTTACACGTGTAAAATTCATTTAATTTATCTTCTTCCCTTAAAGTAGTGTGAAGACACGTCAGAATGACGCGAAGACATAACACCCTGGAATCCAGGGGTTTATCATCTCCTCGATCATTCGTAATAACTATCGTTATAATTTCCACATTGTCCGGATAATCATCTCCATGTTTCCTCACTCATTCATTTACAATCTATAAAAAAAAAACACTGGTAGATCAATGGCACGAACAGGTGGTTTCATTCACGTTCAGCCGTGAGTATTACGTACAGCATTGATAAATGAAAGGAGAAATACAAGAAACGTTTGACGTTAATCTTTTAAAATTGTTCAGACTGTGAATTAAGAAAATGTGCGCACTTAATTAGACCGCTGAAGGAGGGACATTAATAAATAACTTCCGCCAATGATTATGATACAACTGAGAAAATAAAAATGGAAAGAAAATGGAATTTCTAGCGCGACTAACGTAAAAGTTCTCTATGTTAAAAAAATATATGCTATGCTGTTCTGTTCTGATCGGTTTTAGCTGCAAATGTACAAAAAAATACAAGTGGCGAACAAAAAAAAAATAAACGAAATTGTTAAAAAAGGTCAACTTAACTTTAATGACTCGGCTAAAAGGACAATTTCATTACAAAAATTTCGATTTTTTTTCTTCTTCACTCGAGTTTACATTTTTCTTTTCATGGCCATCAGATATTCTTCGCTTTTGAGTTCCATGCTCTATTTTTTTTTAATGCTCGTTCAGAACGATCACTTTTTTTTTTCACAGTAAATTTTTTCGCTCACACACAGACATATTGTTCACTCTTGACTTTTCCTTTGATTAGTAGTCACTCTGATGTAAATCCATAATCTCGGGAAATATACTCTTAGTATTTGTTTATTAATTTTTTTCTATATCTAAGGGTTTTTCTTTAAATCACAATTCAACCAGTGATTTATCCAGAACGTGATTTCAATTGATCTTGTTTCTCAAATTTTGTACAGAGAGGAATTCCAATATTTCCCATGACAATAGGTCAAGGTATCAATCGTTATTGCTATCAAACAAATAAATTAGTATGTTGTTAAAAAAGATCTCGAACATCATGATTGCGCGTACAGAGCGTTTGACAATTTCACAATCAAAATTTTTAAATCATGCCAAGTGAAGTCGAAAGACTCGGAAAAAAATCCACTAGAAAAAAATAACCGAAGTATGCACAATGATTACAAAAACAATGATAAAAAATCACACCGAGTGATACCTCAACCTAAACTCATCACGAATTCCCCATGACTATATAAAAAAAAACATAATGTACATACAAAACTTTACGGTGAATTTGTCGGGGCACTTCGTGATCAATTCACTTTCCCCCTCAGATCATATACACATAGTATCAATAATTTACATTTTGAAAAAAAAAAAAAAAAACTAGAACCGAACAATGGAGAAAAAAAAAATAATCACAAACAAAGAAAAATAAAACTGAGCAAAGTTCGTTTCTCATTTAGTTTTCTCTTAAAAACGAGTCACTTTTGTGTATTGTGTTTGTGTACGTGTCCAACACTGAAACATTATTTATTATACATATATGAATATTATTATATATACATTACTCGGATATATATATAATATATACATATATATCTAAAAACTTCTTCTCTTTTGTTTATCTAATAATAGTAAATAAATCTAATAAGAGCCATTGATTACTGTATTTATACAATTATCATTAATTATCACCTAACTTGGCATCCTTGGGGTAGAGGCGCTGCAGCTGGACAACCCGGTGAATTGTGGCTCGCGGTCGTTGTCTGACTGATCAGTTTCATGTCGTCCTCACTGGAAGTCTTTTTATCCCCACTCTCCTGACACCTTGCATCCCCAGCATCTTTATCAGCATCCGTTGCAACCTGTTCAACGGTATCAGCCACACTATCACCTGCATCACCTGCATCAGTTGCCTGAGCACTGGTACCAGCTGGCGCTTGCAGCTCGTAACCCTGATTGCACCTCGTTAATTTTAACCTGATTGGTGTTACCTTGGCAGACCTAACATTACCAACCGATGTGCTAGAAGTGTTTTGATCAACCGGTTGTTTTTCACTTGCACTATTGTCTGATGGATAATTGGGATCGCTCTTCGACGTATCAGTCGTTCCAGAAGTTCCACCTCCCACTCGTCCCTCTGGATTATCAGGCTGACTGACACGTTCATTATCAGCACTGCCCGATGCCTCTTGAGTTTTGTGATGACCCTCAGTCCCTTTGCTCAGCCTTATGATGAGCTTCGTCGTTGATGTGCCACCCTCCAGTATCTGCACCCTACCCTCTTTACCCTTCTGCTTTTTCCTTCTCTTTCCATTCTTATCCTTCTTGCTCTTTTCCTGGGTCATCTCATCATCATCGAATCCAGCCATTATCATTCTCCTGAATTTCATGCTCTCTCTCTTTAACTCCTCAATACTCGGTTTTGATTGTATGTTACTGAGCCTCTTCTTGGGAGGCCTTATCTTACTCCTATCTTCTTGCACAGTGCCCATCTCCTGTCCCATGATGCCAATATTGCCTATTTTTATTTTGAGCTTCGGTGGTGCACTGTTTACAACACTCACCGGTGTTTTGGGCTGTCTGCCGCGACGTCGATCGGTATTGGTACCACCAATGGTTCTTCTACCCGATGTATCATCTTCAGGCGCCTCTGGGAAGCCACCACCTCGATCTTTCCTCCTCTTCTTCTCCGTGCTATTAGCGTCTACCACAGCCCTGTAATCCTCTCTAGTCGGGAATACAGCGACTGATTTAATCGCTTTAGGTACTGTAATCACGGGTCTATTGATCGGTGGAATGTTAATTGGTGCAGCCGCGATACTCCCAATGCCAGACTCCTCGGTGTTCATGTCTGCTTGAGAGCAGTACTGTCTCAGCAGCTCCTTCTTTCTCATTCTTCGAAGATTCGAGGTGCCCGATATGCCTGAGGCACTCGTTGCTGATGGCGTTATTATTGCTGGGGCTTGCTGAGCTAGTGGAGGCACTGATGATCCTGCTACGTAATTCGCGTCCAAGAATGGACCCTTGATCTTGACTTTCAACTGATTTCTCGAGTCAGATAATGACATTTTTATACCATCACTCACACTCGAAGACATATCCATGCTTGGATCACTGAAATTCGTTTTGGAGCTTGAGGCGTCTGGTTTCAGATGTAATGCATCAACGAGTTCATCTTCCATGTCTGGTAGGGCTGGATCTGCTGAGACACCTGAGAAGGAGCCGAGGATATGATTGGCGTAAGTTTGAGAATGAAGAGAGGAAGTCTGCCCCTCAGTCGTTGAGTTGTACGTTCTCATGTCGACGGGACCAGGTAGAAGAGGCATCACTGAATCCGTGAAGCCCTGGCTTGCACCACCAGTGACTTCTGCCATGCTGCTGTACTCAGAGACTGGTGGAGACTTCTTGTGAATAGTTGGACTCGATAACGACTGAATTCCCTCCTTGGAAATACTCGATTCACGTTTCTCACTGATATCCGTCGACTTCTTCCGCTCTCTCATTGTTTTCAGGTCAGCAATGTTGGTCTCGTTGGTCGAGTCCTCGTCAGAATCAAAATCGTAGACAGTTCCCACGAGTTTGTTCTGAATGGAGTCATCGCTGTGGATGGTATTGCTGAGACTCGGTAAAATAGTAACTGAGGCATTCTGACTGTTTCGCCCTCTTCCTCGACCCCTGCCCCTGCCACGTCCACGATAACCCTGTTGAGAGCCCTTAGGGGCTCGAGGCCGTCCCCTATTGGTGGCCGGAGGCTTGGCAGGCTCTTGTCTGGGGGATTTCCCAGGCGATTTACCCTGGAGAGAGCCAACTCTCGCTGACGTTCTCGTGGGTTTGGAGGGACTCTTCTTGCCAGGTTGACTGGCCTTTTGATCTGGCACCATTGGCTGAACATTCTCAACCACTGGCTCCGGTATTTGCTGGGCCTCGGGCATGTTGTTGGCAAAAGTAATGGGCAACACTGAGGAGGTGACCTGGGGCTGTATCGTCTCGGGTGTCGGCTGCTGCTGCTGCTGCTGTTGGTGTTCCTCCGCGGGCTCATGAATGGGAGGGGGTTGGGCAGGGGGTGGAGTAGGAATTTTCGGTGGTGATACCATGGCAGCAGTTAGAGCCATATTATGAGAGGACGAGGTAAAGGCTGCTGTGCAGGGAGAGGCCTGCATGTTGAGAGAGTCGTCCAGGGGTTTGGGAACATGAGGTAGTAAACTCTGGGGCGTCGGAAAGGGGGCACCGAACACCGGTGGGAACATTCCAGTGCCTGGAGAGGGATAGGGAAGTGGTGCTGCACACGACTGAGGTGGAAAGAGTGAGACTGGTCCCGTGTAGGCACTGGTGTCGGCGTAAGGATGGTAGGGAGCACCCTCCATCGAACCCGGGGGAAATGGCAAAGGCGCCATGTTCTTGTACGGTGGAATGGAGGCATGCTCCTCCGTGGAGGAGGCAGACGTTATCGATGAGGATGTGGATCTTCTCGAGGGTAACACCTGACTCTCTGCCCACCTCGTGTCTTGTCTGCTGTTGTTCATGTCGTTATAGGGAGAACTGCTTTGAGTGTAGTCTTGTCTAATATCAGACGATGCATCCTCCTTCTCCAGACCCCTGTCAATCTCACTATTCTGGTCGTCCTCAGTATTGGGCAATCCCATCAGATGTCTATTCACCATCTCCATGGGTATCATCTCCTCCTCTCCTGGTATTGGTAATGGCTCCAATGGCCTTGACTCTGGGTGTTGGTCCAAATGAGCTCGTACCATTCCGTGTCGCTGCTGGAGCAATTGGTATGGATCCTGCATGTTGAGATTTAATTGGGGATGCACCAGGGTATCAGTATTGTTTTCTGGCATAACCGAGGTAATATCATTGACAAATCCATGTGAGTATCTGTGGTTTTGGCTCTCCATTAATTGATTGAGATGCTGCACGTCATTGGGATTAAAGTTCTCCATGCTGGGAGGCACCCACCTTTCGTCCGCCTGCGCCCTATCCAATTTCGCCCGTTCAGCAATCGCCACTTTACCGGATGCCAGGTCCTCGCTCGGGTAGAGTGTGTAGGGCTCGGTGTTGTTTGGATAACACGTTTTTCGCCTTTCCTCGATTGAGTGATTTTTGTGGCTTTCTTCTGGGATTTGGGGGACCTCTCGAGGCTTCTGAGGGGGTTCTGGTGGTAATGCCACTTCCTGGGGCTTTGGCTCCTTCGAAGGGGTCTCTGATGGCTTCTTGGCGGGGGGTGGCTCGTCCCTTTTCACTTCCTCGGGTGCTGGGGGCTCCGAATCGAATTGACCGGTGTTTGATTTCTTGGAGAGCTCCATTCGGAGCTTCTCCACGAGGTGGAGGGTTTCTCTGGCGCTGTCCTCTTTAGTATCCTCCTTGAACCAGAGCTCATTGTTGAAGGAGAAGGTCAGAGGAGCCTGACGCTCCTCTGGATCCCTGGGTATACTGAAACCATCGTCGTTGATGTCATCATTGAGAATATCCTGATCAAAGTCGAATAGTTCAGAGACAATCGATTCTTTGCACTGTCCATGCTGAGGTGAAAATATGGAACGATTGATTGACTTTCGTCGCTTGAGGACCTCTTTCTCGAATTGAACATCTGGCATCTGTTTCTCGGGTAGTGTATGGGGCTTCTGGAACGTCTCCTGCTCCTTGTCGACGGCTGGATTCTCCATGACTATCGTGAGAATTCCACGGGACTCTGAATCACCCTTGTGATCCCGTTTTCTTCTCAGGACATCGACAAGATCATCCGTCTGTTCACTGTCGCAAGTATCAGGGACTTTTGGAGTTTCTTCACTGGTGTGGTTTTTACGTCCCTCCGGAGCGTGTGATCTCCTTTCCTCAAGCCTTGTGGATTTTTCCTTGTGAGTATCTTTGTGGATATCTTTATGGACATCCTTGTGGACATCTTTGTGGACATCTTTATGGGAATCCTTGTGAGTGTCCTTGTGAGGATCCTTATGAACCTCTTTGTGGGCATCCTTGTGGTCATCCTTGTGAACATCTTTGTGGCCCTCTTCACTCAGTTCTTTCTCGTGCCTCACCTCGGCCCCCTTTGCCTTGAAAAGTTTGTCGAGGTGCTCCCGTTTCTCCAGAAATTTGTCAAGACCCTTGGAGGACTTCTTAGGACTATCCCGTTCAGCCCGTCGCTGCTTCATTTCCTCCTCCAGAAGGAGCAAATGCATAGGACTCTTGTTGGAAATTTTCTTCGATTTCCTGTCATCCTTGGGCGTCTCGGGACGCTGTTTAGGAGTTCCCTCGGCTTTACTGGACTTCTCCACGTCAAGAGACACCTCATCGCTCTCCTTGGATCTCACCTCGATAATCTCCGGGAGTTCTTTCTCAATAACCTTTTCACTTATCCTCTTGTCATTTTTCTTGAGCGTAGATGCATTCTTTCCAGGTTTGTCGTCTTTCTGAGAGACTTCACTCGATTTTCGCTTTCTTGTCTCGCTGGATTTTCCCCTTGCTGTACCACTCGTACTGGACTGATCCTCCTCTTTACGATTTTTGGTGGTGGACTGGTGCTGCGACTGGGCTGACTTACTTGGTGATGTCTTTTTAGATGACTTGGTCCCAGATAAACCTCTCGACCCATCATTATCTCTAGACCCACCGAGCACACCCTGGTCAACACAACTTTGGGATTGCACTGATTTTTTATTAGCAACATCTGGCGCTCTCGTTGAGTCGTTTTTCTTAGCTGTAGGTGTTGATGACGATTGCCGCGACTGGTTTGAATCCTTGGTGACAGCTCTACCTGATTCTTTTCTCTCAGTAGGCGGCGGTGGAAACTCGAGTCCATGCCGCCCGTCGGAAGTTTTAAGCTTCTTATCAGGCAGCTTCTTGAGTTTCCGCCCAGCCCCTGTCCCCCGTTTATCAATCCCCTCCGCGGCATCGTCACTCATAACAGCTTTACCCGAACGTTTGGTCGTTATTTTGTTCTTCGATTGATTACTGGTATCACTCTCGGACGACGTTGACGAGCTCTGGGCTTTCTTCTTCGATGGTGACGTAGATCCAGCCCTGCTCTTGCCATCATCCGAATCACTGCTCGACTCTGATGAGCTGCTGCAGCTACTGCTGGAGCTTGAATCACTATTCGTACTGGAAGACGCTTTCTCTGGTAATTTTTTCTTGAGAGCTTCCTCTTTCCTCGTCGACTCGTCCCTCTTGATGTCTTTCTTAGGCTTCGCCTCGGGAGACTCCTTCTTGGACTTTACCTCAGTCTGCCTGTCTGCTTCGGCCTCTGCTGGAGGTGCTTTGGTACCCAGACCACTCTTGATGTGCTCAGCCGCTTTTTTCGCCGCCTGTCTCTGTGGTACGTACGCCAGTATCTCACTGCCATCACCGAACTCCTTATCGAAGTCGTAGATGTCATTGTTTTTCGAGTCCTTCGAGGTCTTCCCCTCCTTGTGCTTCCTCGAGGGTTTATCCTTCGGCTTCGCAGCTTTGACTTCGTCAGGCGGTGATTTGATGGACTCGGGTTGTTCCTGAAGTGTCTCCTTCTTTCCCTGCGACCTCTGCATTATCTCTGAGGCCTTCTTGGCGGCTTGTCTCTGGGGGACGATCAACGCTGACGGAATATACTCCTTCTCCTTCTTCTTTGATTTAACATTCTCCTTATTGCTCGCCTCCCCATCCTTCTGATCCTTGCTGAAACTCTTCATCGAGTTCTTAGCACCGTCAGCAGCTGAAAATTGTTTGACCGCTGCTTTGGAGATGAAGGGGGCGGACTGGGTTGCATGCTCCTGGGAATCTGAGTCAGTTGTGTATATGGCAGAAGCGGCAGAAGGTCCGACCCTCGTGCTCGTATTGAGTGGCAACAATTCATCACTGTCACTCCCCGAACCACTGCCAAGCTCCTTCTCCATGTGCTGGAGTGTTCTCGATCTAGTCCCCGTGCTATCCTGCTTATCACTCTCACTGCTTCCAGCTGGTCTCGGTCTGTCCGGTGCACTAGTCTTCTTCTGCTTTCTCCTACCAATGGTTTTTGTTGGTTTCCTCGGGGTTATCGCAGTGGTATTTGCCTCCTCCTCTGTACTCGAATCAGTTTCCAACTTCATTTTAGCTTTACTACTGGTTTTACTGGTAGACTTGACAGTTGGTTTAGCAGTATCTGTCTCACTACTGCTAAATGACGATAAATCACTAGTATACAGACCTTTTCTCCTGACAGTTCCATTGAAATACAATTTCTTGTTGGACGCACCATTGAAATCCGTCTGTACATTCTTCTTATCATCACCCGATACCGGTGTTGGTGACTTCTTACCCTCTATCCTGGCAATAATGGTGTCAAAGTCGCGAGTGTGATCCTCACCATCGGGATGTGAGTATAAACGATCGTAAATCGATGGACCGTGATTGGCCTCGGCCACAGCAGCTGCAACAGCTTGCGGCAACTGTGGCCCAGACAAAACAAGTACCTGTTTATGAAATGTCTGTTCACGCAATCGTAGAAACGTCCTGCATAATTTCTCACGCCTATTAACCATATAACAAAGATTCCTAACTCGTTCAAGATCCTGTCGTAGTTGGACAAAGGTACGCATCTTCTCGAGATCAGCGGCCTGTCCCTGTGCCCTTGCACCACCACCTGAGAGTTCGCCACATCGAGGTGCAAGGAGAGGTTTATTATGACCAGCTCGTCTCTTGAGTTTCCAGTAATTGTAGATGTAAACAATACCATCAGGATCAACGTCCAACTGCTGGGACGTGATGTCCTTGAGATTAACGTGCTTATCAAATTCAGCCTCGATTTCCTGGAGTTTAGCTGCCCTCGCCTGATTTTTCTCCTCGGATGTCATGTCCTTGCGCTTTCGCCGCCTCGACTCACCCTCCTCCTCCTCAGAACCCGCCTTATCACCTGCCCCACCACCACCAACCCCAACCTTATCCTTAGTATTTGTTCTACTGTGTTTTTGACAGTACGATCTCAACTTCACCCCGTCATCGGCCATCTCATCCTCGATAATAGCCTTCATCTCCAAACCGTACTTAAATGCACATGTTACGTGATAAGCTGTTTTACAAGTTTTTATACTGCACTGTATGCAAGCACCAACTCTTTCACGACACAGTACGCATATGAGTGCCCATCTACTCTGTGGAATACTGGATATTTTAGTTATTGGCTCCATACGTTCCACACAACCAATACTGACTTCTGGTATCCACAGGGCACAAGATACGTGGGCCCACTTTTGTCCACTACGCGTGCACTTCATTGCACCACCTTTATTTGGGCACAGTACACAGTCAGGGCGCTGGCTTAGAGAGCAAGTGCGGCACAACCACGAGCCCTCGGGTATTGCCGTTATACCGTAGCATGCCTGATGCACGCAGATATTGCAACAGTCGCAGAATACCATTTCATTACCCTCCTCCGAGTCCGGTGATCTGCACACGTCGCATATTACGTTCTCGTCGTACTCGATACCGAGGCCCTCTTCGTTTTTCACTATTGTTTGGATCCGCTCCCAACAACGAACCTCCAGCTCCTCGATAACACGCTCCAGCTGGGGCTCCGTGATCGATGGTTGACCAGCCTGAAGCACATTGTTGTCAATTAGCAATTTTTCATTCTCCTGTCATAGCTTTCGAATTAATGGAAATTTCCATTAATTCGAAAACTATCAATTTTAGGAGAAAGCATGAAAGAACTTTATTCCTCCGAAATTCAATCACCTACAAAAATGTCATTCAGTGTTTTCATTTTAAATTCATAGTTTTCAAGGTAAATTGAAATTTGATGTGGATGTCCGGTTATCAAGTTTAGTTGTAATAGTAATAGAATTTCATTGATTAAGGAAATATCGTTGGATTGGATTATGTCGGATTCTCCAGTTTATGGGAGGGAAGAGTGTCGTTGATTTACCTGAGCTCTCTCGCCGTTGAGTACTTCGAGCCATGCAATATCAGTATCATCGAGATCATAAGCGCACGCCTTCTCAGCTCGAGTCGGTGTTGTACTGAGGTGATGGTCGTCAGAGCTGAAGTAATCGTCTCGTGATATCCTTATGAATTTTTTAGGCCTGTGACAAGTGAAAATTCGGGGTTATTGGCGCCATTCCAGGGGCACGAGGGAAAATATGGTAAAATGCTGTAAGTCAGAATTTAATGTCTCGTTAATTGCAGATTAATCTTGACTGTGGATTTTAGGAGAAAATGTCAAAGGATCTTTTTCATTAGGAATTTCATCAGCTACAAAAAAATCCTGTGATGTCTCCACTCCAAATCGATAGCTGTCGAGATAAATCCATAATTTATGAAAATTGTACGTTTGACTTATTTCACTTCACTCTGATGGAACGATTTATCGTGGAAAGATTAACTCTTGTGGGCAATTCGTGGAGATAATTAAAGGGGAATTCAAATCGATTTGGTGATAACGTATGATTTTTCTCTGTACTTGCACACTTACTATTTTCCCTAGCAACATTAAACTATAATAAGGAGGAAAGTAGGTCATTTGGATCATAAATTATTGATTGATTATCTATTTATCTTCGGATTAGCAATATTAGACGAAAATGCTGACAACCAATTTCCGAAGGTTCGCGAATTATTAATCGAAATCGTCTCAACCCAAAATGCTCTAATCAAACTTTCTGTGGGATTGAAATGGTATCGAGGATAGGGAAATATATAATTTCAGTGTTTAACTCAAAAATATCTTCGTAGCATTGTCTCGTGGAAGAGTCTTTTGATTTGAAAGAACTTCATGCGTCCACGAATGTTTGGACAAAGAATGAGAAAAATACTCACAATTTAAAGTCGCCATGGATCTTATTGAGAGGTGATGTTTGAGTGACAGTGACCATGGGCTCAGGTAATGAGTCCGGATTAACTGGTACCTGTACCCCCCTCTCCCATTCCTGCTTCCACTGATCAGTAATAACCCAGTATTCATTAGGACTGAGTGGCTCACTGTCTGGCAGTTTCATGGCGCTTATAAGATCCTTTCGAAACAACTCAGCTGGTGCTTCAGCTGCTGAGCGATTATATATACTGGATATTTTGATATCACTGAGGGGTCTTGGTGTCCATGATGCACCACCGCTAGCACCATTACCACCAGCTGTTGCACCCTGACTCGACGACGCCATCGTTTCCTCCTCCTCGGACGGTCCCAGGGCAGAAGAGCCAGCTGATGCTCCCGTTGCCGTTGGGCCCAGTCTACATTTGCGCCTTTTAATTGCCCCCGGGCAAGTCGCCAAGTCATTATCGTTTTTGTTTATTCGTTTTCCTCGTTGTGCCATCACTACCTTTACGACTTTATCTAGAGGCACATGTAGGTGAACTTGTAGTACCCTGTGAATCAAGGTGAGCATTCAATGGACCCATCGGCATCCAGTAATTAAGAATTATCATATTTATATTGTTACTTACTACATAGCTGTCCATATATTTGTTTAGTAATTCCGTCAGTGAATTCCCCTCAGAACTGCAACAAATTTGATAATTCATACAATTTCCGTTGTGCATCACACCGTCTTGCTGTTATTGTTGATAATCCACTGATGAAAACCAATAATTTATCCACATTTAGGTAAATTTTCACTTTTCACAAGCAAACAATTAACGGCACAAGTACCTTCCAATAACAAATGCAACATAAATCCCCATATTGACGTTTTACTGACTGAACTCAACGTTTTGACATCAATATTGCTGGATTACAACCCGTGGAACATTGGTAATAAGTGTAAAACACAAAATAATCACCATTGACTGATAATAATCGATCAGCATCATCTGTAGTTGCAATCGCCGTGTTACCAGCGGCCACACGATTTATCAATGATTATAAACGTCAAAAACGTATCAACAAATCCTCGATTAACGTTTTAAACGTATAAATAACGTTAATAATGCCTTGTATTCTTCATTCGATAACTTGATATTTGGTTTTTGGGGGGGCCGCCTCAGCTGTGGAATTGAAAAGTAAAAAAGAGGTTATAAAAAAAACGTACGTCTCAATGAAAATAAAGATTGAAATACGTCAAATACGTAAACTGATAATTGTCAAAGCCCCTCAATTACAATATAATGGCAAAATAATATCCCCCAAATGCGTTAATAAGATGAAAAAATTCACAGGAGGTTTGCTACCCATCCTTAAAGATCATGTAAACATTTCATATTGTCGTTATACTCCAAAACACCTCAATACCATTGTTATATTAATACAACAGCACTCACATCACAATCACGTTTAACGATGATTTAATTTGTTAACATAAATAAACATCGTTTATGCGATTATTATAACGAATAAAACGATGGAGATGTGTCGTTCTAAGCACGAACAAAATGCCTCACGGCTCCATTACGCTGCCTGTGCTCCTGCTGCTGCTGCTGCTGCTGCTGCTGCTGCTGTTGCTGCTGCTGCTGCTGCCCCAACAACATTGACAATACAGATGGCACCACTCTGTACTAAATATCGCGCAGTACGCTCCGCTAAAATCCTAGCACTCCTTCAACCATCTCGCCCATTAAATCCCTTATTATTGATCTATTAACTCCATATTATTTTCTATTTCCCGTCTCAACATATTGTCCATCACGTGAGTCATCTCTAATCATCGATCTCAGCTATTTCATTATATTTTTTTTACACCCCGAGATGCTCATACCGCTCATGAAATTACCCCATTTTTTTCATTTCAGCATAAAATCATATCGAGAAACTCGCAGGATAAGTGGAGGTGCCTAACCATGTCCTCATTAGAGATTCCAGTTAATGTATATCCCGTTCGTACTCACTCGAATTCATTGGTAGGTTGGCATTTTTATTGGAGTCATGTCTCTCTTATACGCGGAGATTGTCTCTGTTTTGGCCATTTTTTTTTTTCGGCGGCATCTTCGAGGTAAATTCTTTGACGTTTGACCGCCGGTCAAATGGTGCCATTGACCACGCGCACCGATCTTCCTACGCAACGAATCGATAATAATGTATATGTATTTTACATTAATGTCGGTGGTGAGGTGATGTTTGGCGCCATCATGCCTGCAAACAATAAGAGGGAAAAATCTTTTCTCCTGTCACGTGATACTTCAGTGCGAGAGGAGAGAAGGGGATTTTTTATTCATTTTTGTTGGGTGTCTTTCCTCCTCTCCCGCATCAGTCGCATCTTCTGGAAGGGGATTATGGATCACTGAAATTTTTATGACGAACAGGGGAGGGGATACAGGTAGAGAAACGTCATAACGCCCCCTCATTTATTTATTTATTTACTTATTTATTAATTTTATTACAAAACTGTCTGAGAGAATGACTTGGTTTTATTCATCAGATTTTTTTTGTGCAGCTTCTGTGAGAGGTACAGATAGAGTGACGATTTCTCCCTCTGGAAAATCAGAAAACTCCAAAAACCAGTTTACAATGGCGGGTAATTACCAGCCAATCAGGGGAGAGCAAATCTCGAGGACTTTCCAAGAACTAGTAGAACTGTCATTCTTGAATGGTGGGTTGTGTATCGTGGGACTCGTGGGCGCTGCTTATCGTCTCAAAAATCTGAAATCAGAGCAGTTCTTTCTTTTTTTTTTATATTTTCTTCCAAGTTGACCGGATTCGTGGTAAAAGTTAATCTTTTTGAGTGAAAAAAAATGGAGCAGGTAAACTTGTGATTCAAGGCAGTTTTGCTCATAACCTTGCTCTCAACAATTGATATCTCATTTGTTATTGTTTTGATTCCACAGGACTTGAAACCAAAAATTGATCAAGCCTGCAGGGTTGCCGAGGAGTTCACAAAATTGTACTATGAAAGCTTGGATAAGAGGCGATTTGTGAGTTTATCTAGGTTTGATTGGAGTAAACAAAAACAAATAATTCTATTGCTTGTACTCACGTGTCGTTGAATTTTTCTTGATGAATGGCTAGATGATATCGAGACTCTACCTGGACACAGCAAGTTTGATTTGGAATGGAAATGGAACAGAAGGAAAAGATGCTATTCAGAAGTTCTGGCTTGATTTACCTGCAACAGACCACACAATCACGACCCTCGATGCTCAGCCCATCACTGGTGACTACCGCGTTCATTTATTTATTTATTAAATATGAAATTATCTGATATAATATTGGCTTGCAGGTCCTGCAGTCTCCGAGCAGCTCACCTTCCTCGTTAAAGTCAGTGGCCAAGTGAAGTACCAGGAAAAAACACCGCGACCATTCACCCAGAACTTCCTCATAACAGCTGTTGGAGACAAGTGGAAAATAGTGAGTGACTGTTTCAGAATGCAGGAGGTCATTGAAAGCACTGGTTGAGCTCAAAATTTCAACTTAGAGTAACCAATGCATCTGGGGAAATTGATATTCCAAAGAATCTTTGACACAGAAAGATAAGGACATCTTTTTTGACATATACTTTTTATTCTCAATCCTATATCAATGTATAAAGCAATAAATTTTGTATGAGCGAATCAGTACGTTGGTCAATTCTTTTCCACATTCTCATTTTTACGTGTACACTTGATGTTTTTTTTGTTTTTCGTGAAGAGAGGAAATTAAAATATCAATGACGATCGAAAGTTATAAAATAAATACGCGTATAAATAATATTAAAATTACTATAATACACATTATTATATAAAACATGATAACTCGTATCTATGATTTTTCATTCATTCCAGTATTTCAAATAGTTGTTCTTCAGTGACTATAAAGACGTTTTGGAGTAGATTGAGCACAATCGTTCAGAGGTGATGAACTAAGACAGAAATTGTTAGAAATTGTTTCGTACGTTGTCCCATAATTATCACAGGGTAAAAGAAAAATCATTTCAATTGATTGATGGGGGGCCTTTGAAAAGAGCCACCTTTAAATACAGATGGCAATATATTGATTCGATGAAGAAATGCTCGTTACATGAAGAGGGAGTATAGGCAGTGTAGAATAGGATTACAATCCACTCACTCGTTGCTACAAATGATCATCTACTCTTTTTTGTTTCTGTTGTTAAAGCGTAATCCCGATGAAATATTTTCTGAAAAAGTGGGCGACCATCTCCTCGGGTTTACGCTCTGGAAGAACAATGTTTTACTGCATTCCCACAGTGTATAAATGAAGCGCACGACACTCAAGGACTTTGATTATAATTACATTATCCTCATCTTCAGCCCACTGGAATTGGCAAATTTGTCATCACCACACGGAATATTTCAATGTAGGCGCACAATTTCTTAAATCAGTCATTCTCGACCCAAATTTTACGTCTCTTTGTTTTTACAAATACAAAATCGTTTATATTGTCCCTCGATACGCAATGAAACTGTCCGGCTTGTTTTTCAACTGATTTTTTTGTTCACTTAATTTCATATTTATAATTAAAATGCGCTAAACGCGATTACGATATACTAAGCGTTTATCCTCATGACGTTTTATAAAATTACACGTCTAAAAATGAGTGATGCGACAATAGGATTAAGAAATAGGTTTTGTTGTTTTTTTTTGTTTAGCAGTTTCTCGTTGGGTTTCGCATGCCAGTGACAAACTCGACAAAAATGACGAAAGAATGAAAAAATATTCCCACAACTTTGATTTTCCACATCCACTTTTTGATCACAAAACTCGAATCCAAGACTACATTATTTTAGTATTCACCCCCATCCGTACTGCGTAGACATAGAAAAAACCCTCAAAAAGGTAATTTTAGTTTTTCTTTCTGCAAATATAAATCGTAAATATCATATCATACCACTTCATAAGTATAGTATCAGGCTATATAGCATCGATTCACCGATTAGCTTTTCTAAAAATGATGTATCTCCTTAATTATTAAAAACTTCTGGCTTCGCTCGAAAGAGAAATACTGTTCCTTCGGTCGCTTGTTTTTTTCCTAATGACTTAGATATATGGTTTATTTATATATTTATATATATACTATATCTTCATTCAAAGATAGAGCCCCACAAAAGAGTTGAGAAGAGCCCTCCCCATTCCAGGAACCACGATTTTTAATCATCAGAAAAACGTTAAACCCAACAAATGGAAAATTAAAAACAAAACCTACTTGCCTGAATTGAAATATTTTGATTAAAAATTGCATTTATCTCTGTACCATATTCGTCATGTCTTTAGTCGTATTCTGTACGTCACTAAGTAGTCTTGTATTCTCTGTGATATTTCTCGTACCAGCAGCCCTCAGCTGTCTCGCCTGTAGCTCCAATCGTGACATCAAATCTCGAAATTGAAATCTGGCGTGAGGTGGTACAGTAGCACTCTCCACCGACGTTATGCTCTGAAGAAGCCCATGAAGAAGTCCCACCTTGTCTGACAATTGTAGCCAACTGGCCATGACGATAACAGGTGTGCCTTTGAGATTAGTAATGCTCGTTTCAATTGCATTGACTAACTCTAAGACGTCGTGTTTAGCTGCTCTTCCCTCTTTACCAGCATCCTCGTCGTGTGAGGACTTGTCACAATTGGGAGTTGCATAAATCGAGGAACCAAAGTATTTAGCAGACGATCCAATGCCCTTGGAGGGTTTTGCAGGCACCACTGGCTTCTCTGAGTCCCCAGAAGTATTAGCAGGATGCCAGGTGCGTCCATCACTCTTACTGGTCGCCGAACTCCTGGTGGAAGCCCCACTATGATCCTCTGGGCTTTCCTCCCCAGGATCCAGAACATCCTGTTTTGCGATTCCCCTCGCCCCCAACTTGGGACTGAGTGGTTGATTATCAGATGATGCCTCCTTGTTCTCCCAGAGTCTTTTCAAGCTGCTGATGCTGCCTGTACTCCTACGCTTGTCATCCCCATCATCGGGCTCTGAGGCGTCAGTGCTCGGGTCCTCTGATCTTCTATTCTTCTCCTCCTGCTGGGACTTCTCAGCATTGTCCACCTTCCTCAGTCTTGCCTTGAAATCTATTATCTGGCTATCGGTGTTCTCTTCTCGTGGATTACTTCGTTTGTCCACTTTCTTCAATTTGAAACCTACATTGCCAGAGTTCAGTACGTTTTCAGTCATTGGGGAAGGGAGTTCCTTGATTGTGGGCTTGTCCGAGTGATCTGGAGGCGGCTCCATACCCTTAACATTCGACATTGCGTATTCGTTCTGAACGACTGGCTTGATACCGTGCTCCATGCTGAAGCTAGCACACAATTCTGACAGCAATTGCGATGCAGGATCTAGTGGGACTGAAGAAACATTATTACACACGTTAGTTTTCTTCGTTGACACGATGTGTTTGGCATCAGCATTTTGTCGAATTTCGTTGATCAATTTGAGCTCGAGCATTTCCTTCATCCCAGGCTTTGAATTGAATGTATCATTAGTGGATTCATTGTTAACTGGTGGTGGTGGAGGAGGTGGTGGGGGTGGGGCCTCGAGAGGAGGTGAGAGAATGCAGCTAGTTTCGTTTTTGGCTGAGCCTGCATCTTTTCCTGGTCTGAATGGCACTTTTTTCTCGTCACATGACTTAGTGGGGCCACCAGAATCACTAGAGACCTCGCGACGTCTTAAATTCACACCGAAACGTGTTGATGCCTCCTTCACCGAGGGCTCAGCTGTTCTCACATCGTTATTCTTGTCGTCCTCGTCTGGATCTTCCCTTGATCTTCGTTCAATCTTGGATTTTCTGGTGCACACTGGCGAGCCCGAGGGTCTCGGGGGATGTGTGGCCTCGTTAATTGATGTGGAGTCGTAATGTTCCTCATTGGGAGGTGGTGGAAGGTCAAGGGGAGGCGGTGGAAATTCAAGATCAGCTAGAGTCGGTTGAATTGATCTTGAGGGACTAGCTGTTCTGAATGTCGACGTGTTGGGGGCACGAAAAGTTCGAAGACCAATGGTCTCAGGGTTGTTCTTTCTTCCCGACATGCCGCGACTCCGTGGGGAGTTTGGAGGCTGATAGGTATTGACAACTCCACTGGATGAGTTACTTCTTGTCATTTGGGGCTGATTTCGAAGATTATTTTGACGAGGCGAGAGCGAACGGTGTTGGGATAACTCTGTGGCTGGATCGTGGTGCTGGGAGTGAGATTGTTGTTGATGCTGCTGATGCTGCTGCTCAATTATGGAAGGTGCCTCACCACCAGACGGCATTCCACTCTGACGCAGCGACTCCAGGTAAGCCCCGATTCTCGCACCCTTGGGCAACGTGCCATAACGATTTATCGCACGTTTAACATTTTGCACTTCCAGGGCACCCACGTGCACCAGCTGAAACAACATTTCATGCTCACGTATTTATTTAATGCATTAGGAATTATTGTTCTTATCAGTTTTCATGAAAAAAAAAAATAAGCTGTGACTATTCAAGCAGTGCTAGATGCATTTACCGATGGACTCTGATTGAATTTCAATGATTTTGTTGTTAAAAAAGTGGGAGGCAACCAAAAACATGGCACAACTACTGGCTACCACCTTCGTAAAAGCTTCGCGTATTTGTTTTTATTTATTTTTTTTTTGTTTTCTTTTTCTGTTATTTATACCTTCTGTGGAAGTACTTCCTTAGATGGATACTGTCGTGTTTTAATTTGTTTCTGATTGCACTGTATGTTGAGCTCTGGTGATGCAGATCGCTGCAGTGGTGGTAAATTTGGCTCGGCAGTACCCTGGGACCCATCGCCATCCTCATCCATCTCGCAGCCTGTCGTTGGTACTGAAGCCATTGTCACGAGATCTCGCGTGATACCTGGGTTTTTTCAAGTTCAAATAAAAAGATAATGTGTGTACTGGGGTTTTATCTCGATTATTTTTTTTTTGTTTTATTTTGTTTTCATTTTTTCATTCTATCCACGCTGGGGTGAATCATTGGATGTTGATTATTTGTTTGTTTATTTTCAGTTATAAGATGCTGAAGCGTAATCGATCAGAGGTGGTGGCAAGCGCTGTTCAAAGCACGAGCGTTTCTTTAGTTACATTGTCAATTATCGAAATTTTCTTTTGCTCAGGTCATTCTCCGTAAATCTAAGTCAGTGGGTCTTGATGAACTTTCATTCTAGCTCCTAAGGGCGTTCGGATTATTTAACAAACGCATTTAAATCGTTCGGGTATTAGTAAACTCACGTAACACTGCTTGAACTCGATAAAAACGTGATGAGTCGATGAAAAAATAAATGAGTCAAGCTACGACAGTGAATATTCCATACGAAAATGGTATGAGCAAAGTGACAGGGGTTCTCACTGTGAATATGATAAAACAATATTATAAATTCTACGATTACGATCGCTAATTAGAATGCCATGCAGATATGTACATTATTGATTGTGTTCCAACGTATGAATAGAATCTCTCTAAAAAAAAAAACCTAAACGCTTTCTCTAAAAATTCAACAACACAAATTAGACAGAATTTTTATAAAAAGCGCTAGATTGTCGAATGAAATTTTTTCCTCCTCGACACTTGTGAATACAATAAAGACTTCGATAAATGAAAAGGAAAATTGAGAGTGTAGATCGGGTTTGGTGAGATCTACGAATGCATGACTTCATAAAAAAAAAAATTGCACTATGACTAATTATACATTCCGAGCTGTCCTCGTGATGACAGAAATCATACGAAAGAACAGCTTTCAAAGGAAAAAGAAGATTCCGGGAGAATGACCCACGTAATATTACACTGTATTTTTTATTATTCAAACCGAACACAGATTCTATGCACGATGCAGATTATCGAAGGGATCGAGGCTCAATAAAGATTTATTCAAGATAATTTGTATATTCTCCATAAGCGACACGTGCATTATCTTTTATGGATGCTTAAAATGTTTTGAGATTCAGTGAAATACCTTCAAAAACGTTATCAATACCATTTAGATCGGTCCCATCGTCTAACGTCACAGTGCCTACATCAATATTCTGCTGATCTTGCTCCTGGTAAGCTGAGTCACGAAATGAACTGCACGACGACAGCAAACTGAACACAAACACCAATTCCAATTAATATTGACGATTTTTTTTCAAATAATTAATGAAGTTGTTCTCATATTAATTAATTGTTCTCACCTTGTTCTCTTGGGGGGAGCTGGTGCCTGTTTGCCTTTCTTGTTAGTCGATCGACGCATCTGAACGATACTGCTATTACCTTTACTCGAGTGACCACTCATGAATGTACTCAGCTTGGTAACACTACTCGCACCATCTGCATCAATGGAAATCCCATGAGTTATTGATTCAATACGACAGACACTGAATTAAAAGGTAAATGCAAGAATTACAATTTTGACCTTGCGTTAAACCTGAGGTAGACAGTTGATCGGACACGAGAACAAGGCCATGAATATTCCCAGTACTTCCAGTCTGGGATTTTTTATAGGACAGAGTTGGAGTATCACCTCCTCCCTGCAGTTGCTTCTCCACTTCCTCGCTGATACTGGAGTCTTGAAACATATTCTCGAGGGAATGATGAATTTCTTTGAATGTCGGTCTCTCGACAGCACTCCACTGCCAGCACTGGCGCATGAGTTCATAAACCTTGGGTGGACATCCAGGTGGACACTCCATCCTGTATCCCTTCTCGAGCATATGATACACATCGGTTAGATCGACTCCAGGATAAGGCGACATACCATACGTAGCAATCTCCCAGAGTAGAATGCCAAACGCCCACACATCAGATTTCGTAGAGAATTTATTGTAGGCAAGGCCCTCGGGGGCCGTCCATTTGATGGGAAATTTGGCTCCAGCGTGTGCAGTGTAAGTGTCATCCCTCATAAGCCTTGCTAAACCAAAATCAGCGACTTTCACCAGGTGATTTTCCCCAACTAGACAATTCCTCGCGGCCAAATCTCTGTGAATAAAATTCCTACTCTCGAGGTAGCTCATTCCACTAGCAATCTGCGTCGCCATGTGCATTAAAACCACAGCATTGATTTGGTGTTTGCTCTCGTTACGCAAGTAATCGAGAAGATTTCCCTTGCTCATGAATTCTGTAATGATGTAGAAAGGTGGTTCACGTGTACAAACCCCGAGCAATTGTACGAGATTTCTGTGCTTCATTTCCTTCATTATGGCAGCTTCTTCGAGAAAATCTTTCAACGCCATAGTGTCCTCCTTGAGTGTTTTAACAGCAACAGTCATGTTATATCTCTTCCAAACAGCCTCGTAAACGTCCCCATACTGTCCACCCCCCAATTTATGTCTCATGACAATGTCAGTGCGATTGATCTCCCACTCATCAGGCTCGGGACTCAGGGGAAATACTGTTGGCTTATTATGTTTGGGGGCTGGATAAAGGAGTTGCGTTATTAATCCATCCGCCAGCATTGAATGATGATGTACGAGTTCAGCGAGTGTATTAAATTTACTCTCAGTTGTGACAAACATCTTTCCATCGCTATCCTCATTTATTCTGTAATGATAAACTCTTCCCTCGTATCTTAATGAAATACTTCGTTGTCCAGGACTGCTTTCAGACTCGCGCACAAGAAAGCTGCCATTTATTCCAGAGCTCAAAAGATATTCAGCAGCATTTCTCGCTATTCTTCCATGATACCAGGAATGTTTTTCCAATGAATTGACCGGTGTCACGTAATTAGATGGCACCCATCCCACTTGACCAGTGCTCGAATGGGCTTCACACCATTCGCCACTTTTATTGTAACTTAATATCCGAACTTGTTCACCTGAAAAATACGAAAAAGAAAAAAAAACGTTTTAGATGGAATAACGTTGGAACGATCGTTGGTTAGTAACTGATTGATAGAGAGAGGGGGAATTTGAAGCGCCAAGGAATTGGATGGATAATGAAAGGGTGATACCTTTTTTTAAGCTAAGTTGATTCTCCCCACCAGCCTGAAAGTCATAAAGTGCAACAAACAATTGTGGATCATCTTCTTCCTGTGCTAAAAGATTCTCCTTGCTCGTCCATCTGTTAGCAGCCTCGAGTAGACTGCCACCAGTGACACTCGAGTGTTGAGAAAAATTAGACTGCTGTGACAGTGACTGGACACTTGAGCCACTCGGTGGATCACCCTCGGGCAAGGCAGGAATATGTGGTAGAGGCCTACTTTGCAAAAGTGCTTCTGCAAAAAATAATATAACAAAATGAACAATGTAATGGAGAAACAATAACTCAAGACCACTCATATCGAAAGACTCAATCCAATGAAAACAATGAGAGATACGAGAGTCATTCAATGAATAAAACAATAATCGTGTACAAAGGAAACAAATAACGAGACATTTGGAAAATCAATAATGCATACAAATGAAACAGTCGTTTGTGAAATAAAAGAAGCATGGAGATGGAGGAAAAGGGATGACAAGGAGTGTTGTAAAAAAAAAAACACGTTCATGAGGGAGGTGGGAGGAGAGGTTGAAGTGTGGATATGAAGAAGGGACTCACCGCTGTGCTCGGTAAAAATATTTGATCCGATGAACCGCGATTCCTTGGGATTTCTCGGCTGCTTTCGGGTCTGTCTCACTGTTGAGCCGGCTGGTAAAATCCTGTCCTTGGTCTGTTGAGCACCCATCGTTTGACAATTACCATAGCCCTTGCACTGCTCTCAATCTCTCAATCCTTCCTGACTCCCCCCCGTGTTCTCCCCCTGCGTTCGACCCTCCTTTTTTTTATATCGAAAGACAATCCACTGGGTATCCTCTCTCTCACTCACTTCAACCCCCTGACCGGTTTGCCACTGAAATGTGTATCCCGAGACAATAACTCCTCCGGCGCATCGACTTCCGCCACCCCACCAATTACGTTTTATCAACAGTTCCCTTCACATATTATCGCAAAACCCACGATTTTTAACACTGAGTTTAATCAACATGAGCACTCGTTAATACTATGTACGAGCTAGACTAAAATAACACTGTTTGACGGGGCGAGATCTGCAGTTTCACATCGTCCTCGCCTTTTCCCTTGGGATCTATCCGCTGCCAGTTCCTTGGTTGATTTTTTTTTTTAATCACACCGAGCCTATCACTCCCTCTGTCCTTTGCATGTCAATTGCATGTCGGACACACGACAACGGCCATATTTGACAGCTTTTGATGTCGATTATTTGGCTGTTAGGTGCATTGCCACAGGGCGAGGAACCCGAACCAGCCGAGGGAGAGGAGAACACTGAGGAGAGAATCGAGAGAATCACACGGCATTCAGGGTGGGGATGATGTACAGCTCTGGGTTCTATTCGTTTTATTCAGCGAATTGAGAATTTCTGTGGGGAAATCTCAAGAGTTAGACGTGCTTGTGCCTGTTCAGAGTCCTGAAAAATCCTGGAGGGAGAGAGACACTCTCATTGGTCTCCCCCCGTCTTTTTATTTTTCTAAGGACTTTGCTTCCTTTTTTCCCCTCTGATATTTACTCATGGCTTTTTCAGAGGTTCCCCATGGGGTTCGCACAGATACAAAACGGCCAATCCAGAGGAGGATATGCCCTCGGAGCCAATTCCCATTGGAGGATCACCTCGGGTTTCGTTACCCATAGAGAAACATCACCCGGACTGATTGTCCACGAGAAAACTTGTAAGGAACTTGATAACGGCTGGGTTTCGTTCGTACTTTTACAACTCTACACCGAGCGCCTTCAACACTGTGGTGATAAATCGCACCGCACAATTCAACATGAGACAAGAAAATACCTCCCGAGCAGAGTTGATAAAACAGTGTTGGTATGGTAATAATTATAAAAACTTGCACATAATTTCCTCCTCAATTGCTGGTAAGTGTCAACTTATCATTCTTTTGATACATATTCAATCTAAGGGATGCCGCTGCCCGACACATAAAGAAAAGTGGTGAGAGTTCATTTTCAGGGCTTTCTATGGAAAACATATAAATAGTTGATATTTTTTTATGAAAATCTTATAGATTTTTTTTATTATTGAAAAAAAAACCTGTGGAATTTTGAACAGTAATCGGCAAAACAATATTTCCGTGGAGTTTCAGGGGAAATTATGACGCGTTCACAATAACGCGATCAAGTCCATGGACTCAAATCTAAACTATTTTTTTCGATATTGATTATTTTTATTTGACCACCCGGATCCTCTCCGAGGGGTAGGCACAATTCTCTATTTCTTTGCCATTTATTTATTAATTCTTTCATAATAATTGTAGCTTTCATTCATCATCATTATATTTTCAATAATGAAATAATGACAAGATATTTTTCAAAGTTTTTTGTCAATATATTAAAAATATATTCATAATATTCATTATCCACGAAGATATTTAATTATATGAAAATTGAATTCAATCACTAATAATTAAATTTAATTACTAATAATTAATTTTTCTGTTTTGCTTCCTGAATTTTTATTTATAATAATGATAACAGTTCTACGACACCACGTCTTTGGCACCCAATTTTTCATGAGAAATGGATAAATATAATAAATATAAATAATAATGAGGAATGGATATAATGAATAAATAGAAAATTTAAACGAATGTATTCACGAATCCCTATAAGTAACGAAATCGTCAATAATAATTATCAATGCTATTAGAAAAGTTGGGGTTAAGTGAATAGTTAATTGTTTTAATGAGAATGAATAATTTTTTGCAGACAGGAGAGTTCTTTTTTTTTCAAAATGAAAAAGAACATTTGGCAGCCCCCACTCTATCATATTGAGTTTGAGTTTGGAGTTTGAGTGTGTAGAAGAATGTACATATACTGAAGTGAGGGTTAACTTGCCTGGGACCCCCACTCCAGGTAATTATCACTAGCAACCGTGTTCCCCACTCTGGATGGTGAAGGATAGAGTAATGGTAACTTGAGTGTTATGAGAGTGCAGTTGTTGGTCGTGGATTGTGGAATGATGGTAGCAGGCCGGTCTCCTAGGATCCCGCAGCCGCAGGGAGCCGAGCTGAGCCGAATAGAGAAAATAAAACTCGAAAGGTGTAGGTTGCATTTCAGTGAAAAAGGCCGAATGTACCCGGGTGGGTGTACACACAATTACCAGGCCAACGTGCACCATTTCGGCCAGTACACCAGGACCTCGCATCACTCCCCAATCCTCCATAAAATAATTCACGTAATTTATCAATTTACCATTGTGCCATAAACGACTCGTTACGGGCATTTAAACGAGACATGGAATAAATTATTCGTATAAACACATATGTCGTGAGGGATTGGGACGTTGTCATCGGAGAGTGCAATCCAGTCGCTCATCATTTGTTAAGGAATTTTTATTTGTTGAGAGTTTGTGGAGACGCTTGTCAGGCTGTTTTTTTTTTCTCTTGATTTTTTTTTTCATTTCATTTTGTTGAGATATCGAACGTCGAGTGGAGACGTGTGTGCTGGGTGTAACAAGCATACGCCTCGAGCAAGCGTTTACCGTAGGGCTTTCACAAACACCAAATGTGCCTGACTCTTGTAGCTATTTATCCAATAAATATCACTGATGAGTGTGAAAAAAAAAATAGTGACAGCCATGGATATTGACTGTCCAATTGTTAGTCTCAAACGTTCCAGTAGTGCTCCTATGATTAATGAAATCAGTGCCACTATGTCCGTCAGCTCACCATCTACATCTGCGCCGAGGTATTATTGCATTTATTTTACATTAAATTTATTTTTTGTCTGAATATTATTGACATTATTTGGCTTTAAACTGGGGGGTGTTAGGAGGCTCGGGGTTGTCATGAGGTTTGTCACGATTTATCAAGGTTTTTTAGGCTTCTTGTTCAGATTTTCTACCTGCATGTTCTTTTGAAGCTGCTGGCCACAGCAGCAGATTTTGGAGCGTTGTGGATAATTTTTTATTGACCACTTGCTCCACTCCAAATGACGATTTTTTAATTAGTGAATTTGGTCAGGGGTTTTGAGAATTGACTGTGGGGAATGCGGTAGTGATTTTGCTGACAAAATGGGCGAACCTTTGAGGGATCGTCCAAGATGCAATTGAGATTAGAAATAATTTTGGAGAAAGGGGAGAGATCGGTCAGTCGTGGAATTTGATAATGTGTATTTGACAGGGGAAATTATTTTGGGTTTATATTTTGAAGGGTTTGGTTAAAGAAACCACGAGGAGAGAGATCCTATGAGTTATTTCTCTGGAATCACTTTGGGTTGCGATGAGGGATTTCAAATGCAACACATTCCATTGGCCTGAACTCAAGCTCAACATTATTGCAATTTTAATTGTAAAAAAGTCTTACATTTCCTTCTCACTTTACTCCTCCACTCAAGGACATTTTCACAATTGAAAAACTTTACTAAAGATCCCCTTTTATCAGAGGACTTTTTTTCTTCATTCCATAATTCCAGTTTTTGAATACAATTTTTAATAAATATATAAGATATTTCTAACAAATGAGGTGAAATGAACTTCAAGTTTCAGTAGAATAATTTTTACAGAAAAATCGAACTCCATTGACGAATAATAATAGAGTCATTTTTCTGGAATACTCCAACGGGGTATTTGGATATTTTGTGATGGCATTATTGTTCTCCACCGAAATTTTAAGGGAGATTCATTGGGATTTTCTATATAATTCATTGTGTTTTTCTCATTCTCGTAAGTCTGGTTCCCTCTCGTAAGTTTTAGATCCCTAATCAAATATTTGAGAACACATGAGAAATTTACGGAAGTAAATACTGTTAGAATTTTTTTCGTGATAGTCTATTCCCTCAACCGAATAAATGATTTTAGGAAGAAATGACGGTGCGGCTTTTTGTAGCTGGAAACATTTCGAACTGATTTATCAGGATTATAATTGCCACTTAACAAACTGTCGAAATCAACATGTTCAATGCTCAATTTCACTTTCATTACTTAGACCTTCCTTCACAAAAAAAAAGAAACTAACAGAGATAACGTTTCAAAAATTCAATGGAGTCTTAATAGTCTATTACACGAACGGTTTTAAAATAGAAAATTCTGCAGTTAATTTTGAATAGGAATTATTATCAGTAAAAAGCTTCTGGTTGTATCTCCAGTTCGTGTTGTTGATAACGATTTCTTAACAAAGTTGAAATAAGACAGAATTACGGGCAATAACGAAAAAAAAAACACAAAGAAAAATGAAGAATTCGATATGAAACTTTTGGCTTCACACGTTTGTACTAAGTAATTTATTTGTGTGTACAAAAATTACTAGCTACAAATTTTTCCTTGTATTTTTCCTCTTTTTTTTCCGTATATTCCACGTGTTAACTCGGTTTCTGCTATATTTATGAGGAAATGATTCTTGACGAGTGTCTCGACATATTCAAAAGGAACGTGACGTTTCAATGGCAGAGTTCTGCAGTTTTTCTGATTGTCGTTATCTTATGAAGTGTAGATAGACTATTCGTCTGCACATGCCAGTAAAATATGACAGAAAACATAAAAGCAAAGTATTCTTGAAGAATAATGCGAGAAACTGCATTGAAAATTGATACCAATTGTATGAATAATCGCTAAAAGTCTGGGATCCACTTGGCAGGTCTGGAAGGACGTGAGCATGAGCATTGAATAGAATCCATAGTTGAAGGTATCAGAAATCGTGAATATGGAAATTAGTGATGGAGACAATTGTGTCGAGGGAAAGTATTGACTTTCCAATGGTTCTTGCCACGGTCCTTGATATTTTGGGATTAATTCAAAGACACAATTCCTGATCTCTAATTATGAAGTGGTTTAATTTAGGTTGACCTGATGGAATAGTATCCAATCTCATTCCATCAGATTAACATGTAATATCTCCAATGGAGAGTAAGATTTTAATTCATGTAATCCTTCAATTACTTATCATGTTTGATATTTCAGGGATGCAGTGGCAACTTTTAATCTATTTTCCAATACACCGAGAACGAGGCGATTCAGCACAAGTGTAATTATCATTACCACTCATTATCGTTAGTGTAGTAACAAAGTAATCGATTGAGAGGTCAATTTTTCATATCCTAGTGGCTATAGAATTATCTGGATCACGCTTCAAAAATTACTCTTTTATTTTCGCTCTACTATCTTTGAGGGGGCATAATTTGATCTCCGAGATAAATAATTTCCTTACGTGATTCTTGGATTGGATTAATTATTCATATTTTCGAGGATTTATTGGTTTATATCTGAAAGAACGAACGATATCCAGGCACTTTGGCAACAATTAATTAATTATTGGTATTAACGTAGAGAATGTTTATGGTTTTTAAAATTAAGCAGTAAATCAAATAATCATGTAATTATGTTGTACTGCAGAGTCCGGGAAGCGCTCCAAGACTGACACCACGTGTGAATCAACTGAAGCAGGAAGAATGTCTGGATGTTGCTGGTCGCGAGGCAGCCCATGAAAAGGAGATTCACAGTGCAATGCAGATATCACAGTCCTGGGAGGACCTGACACTAGAGGCCGAAGGGCTGTCCTTTAAGGACTCCGAATCGCCGACACAGCAGCTGAATAAATTGGAGAGGCATATAACGAAACGAGTGTTTGATCCACTCAATCTGAATCTACCAGCGAGTGGTGGACCACCATTATGCTCATCTCCATCGCCCACGAGGTCGCATCTTGGGCAGCGCCAGTGCTATTCACCTGGTTTGCACATGGTCAATTGGAAGACTAATTTATCACCGAGTCCAACGAGGAAGGCCTTTGCCACTAGGCGCAGTTTGAGTCCCATTGCTATTCGACCGAGTTGTCTGGGGCCTGTCAAGAGGAAGTTTGAGCTTGATGATAGCAATGGGGATCAGCTGCTGCAGCCACCCGTCAAGCGGACGTCAACGCTAGTTTTATCAAGTTCTCCGAGGTGAGACGATTTTTACAATTCAAGTATTCACTTAATCTTACAAAATGTACTTTCCAGGTTGTCAAGTCCTCTACCAGGGACGATAAGTTCTGTGGGAACTCCTGAGTCGTTGTCCAGCGTAGACTCCCCAGGTTTTTTTTCATTTCGGCCTGTAGACAGTCCGTCCCCCAGTCGAGTGATAACGAATGGGGATGAGCCCATGAACGAAGCCAACGATCTGATTAAAGCGAACGATGAGGTGCAGGTAGATCAGGTTAGCCAGTGCAATCACAGGTGAACTACTTCTTTTGAGCAATCAATTATCGTTACCCCATCAATATTCAATTGTAACCCATAACAAATTCAACATAACAAGATAATTCGTCATAGTTGTCTTCAATTAGTGCGTATTAAATGAATTAATTAATGCTGATTGCTACTTGCCCAAAGGTGCCAGATAAACGCAAAATTTCCTTATCACGTGGGAAGAAAATTCAATGGAAAATTCTAAGTTTCTTGCAGAATCCTATCCGGTGATTAAATTTTTGCCTAAAATTTGTCACGTTAATTTTTTGAGTTTGAGAGATCTTCCCTTCGAGGGATTATTAATTCAGACATCACAATTTCGTTTTAACATTCTTTGTTTAGAACTTGTTGATTGCTGAGTGAAGCTAGAACGAAAAATATCGGACAATTTTTTTTGCTGTTTTTCGAAATTTCATGATTTCATGCAGTAAAAATAACCGGCAAAATTCAAAGTCTCTTGATTTTTCAATTGGAGATTCGGAATTAAAAACACAGAGAATAGGTATTTTTTGTGCAATCTGTTGAATATTTAATGATAAAATTCTGGAATAATTTTTCGGTTCCTTCGTAATTTTTCAATGAGACAAGTTGAAAAATTAAAATTGCAATGAGATAAGTTGCATTGGAAAATAAATTTCCAGTAGAAATCAGTAAAAGTTGAAATTTCCAGTTGACATTTCCTTCACACGATTGATTATTCTCGGATGAGTAAAAGTAATAAGGAAAAGTGTTTGGAGAAGTCTCCACTTTTTTGCGTGAATATTTGCAAGTGTGACATTTTCATCACACAATAATATATGTATAGTTATATATTTTTTAATGAGAAACTCCATTTACCTGACTGTGTTGGGAGGGTGTATAGGCGAAACTTGTTGGCGCATCCAGTCGATACAGTGGCCTCGAGGACAATGAAAAATCATTGTAACTCGCTTTTTAATAATTATCTATGTTTTCTCTTCGATTACGTTTTCCACTTCCTCGGGGCCTGTACTTATAGCTAGTCTTTTTCGTTATCATTCGAAATCCCATTTCTTATTGAATGGGACGAATTACGCGTCGCGAAACTAGGACGTAGCTTGATTTAACTATTTAATTCAGAGCTGAGTGCCATAAGTGTAAAGAGACTGTTGTCTTTTTAATAGTTTTGCCTTCGACGCTGATGGGTATTTTGAAGATTCAATGTTGTCTTCTTAGGAGAGTCTCTTGAAAGTCCATTTAGAATTTTGTGTGAACATTTTTTGGATTTTAGGACAGATTAGTTGAGAGAGATGATCAACTTGTTTTTAGTTATCCTCTATTTACAAAGGAACCACTGAAATTTTAGTTTTCCCAAACTTCTTTTAATTTGGTGTAAATATAGATTAGTGAACAAATTAATATTCAAGAAGTTGATTGGATAATTTTCCTTTGCTTCATGTATTACCTGCAACGGTATTTTTTCGTGATTGTTGATAGAACTTGAAAATTCGATGTATTATCCTTCAGAGATCACGAAGACTTTCAGATGTAAATCGAAATATCACAATACCTTTTGTATTGCTTAGGATTTTCTTCTACAGAGAGATTGCAACATTTCTCGAGAGAAAAGACAGATGTATTCTCAAGACAAGTCTTCATCGAAAAAATGTCTCTTTGAAAACCATTCGAATTATCATAAATGATTTTGGTATGAAAATTTAACAAGTGTCTTTACATGAGATATTTCTATCAGTAATGGATTATTAATACTTCATTATTTTATATTACTAATAAGAGTATTTCTATGTAGACTTTTACCAGAGTGTTATTTTTTTCGTTTTTAAGACAAAACTTATTCGAGAACTTCTGTTCCCTCATTAACGAGATGATTTGAAAATTACCCAAGGATTGTATCAGAGTGACGTGCACATTATTTTCCAAACGTCTTAGCAACTTTTGCCCGTAGAGAAAAATGTCAAATCATCTCGCTCTCTCGATATTGTTTCAAGAATTTTTTTTTCTGAAAAAAAAATGCATTTTTTTCTGAAAAAAAAAATTCAAAAAACAGAAAAAAAAAATTCAAAAAATTCAGAAAACAGTTAAATTATTTTAATCAATCAATTCTCATTATTATTTATTCTACATCACCAATGAATTGATTACAATAATCATAATTAATTGAATAGTGTTATATATGGAACAAAATACCTCGAAAAATCATGTTCTCTCAATTAAGCTCCACTTACGATTTAATTGTTCTACTTCCACTTTAATGAATTTTCACTACTTCGTTACTAATAATTCTCCAATCACCGGCACTCAGTTCTGGATTTGTAAATATCCCTGTACCTTCATGAATTAAAGGTAATGTAATTATTTAAATTGCGCATATGATGAATAATGTGATCCGAAATTGAATAAGTGAAATGGCGAAAGAAATGATCTAGTGATTATTGCGAACGCCGAAGGAAGCTTTTGAGACGTCATCACGAATGAATTATTTAAAAAAACTCATTTCAGAAGTTTTCTTGCTCCTTCACTTTTGTACTTTGAGAGTGTTCAAGGAATGATGCAATTGAAATTTAGAGGAATTATTACGATAACGTTAGGACGGCATTGATTTCCCTCGAAATAATGCAATTATGCTTCCTACTTCTAAGACTGAAATAAAATTCGACGTTTTCTTTTTTCCTCCCATTCAACGGATTTACCCGAGTACACAATGTTCTCAGTCGATAATAATACGTATCTTCCATTTATTGAGGAACCACATAACTCTGCGAGGTAATTAGTATGCAGAAACGATCCCAGTGAGACGGGGGTAAAACGGAATAAGACGATTCTCTAAAGAATTGTGAATTGGTGAATTTCATTTAATATTTCTCTTCCACTCTTATCGAAGATTGATTCGCCTCAAGGATTATTCTTTCGACGGAAAATATTGATAATGGAATTTTTATCTTCAGATTCGATCAAATTTTCTCAAAAACTCACAGGAGTTCAATCCACTCATTTCGTTTTACACTGTCTCCACTGATCTCATATTTAACTTATGGAGTGTCTGCTCAACTTTACGAGATGAGCCATCAATCATATTCAATAGATTAAGTACAAATTGTTTGATTGAGTCATTACTCAGGATTGTTAATGAGTAATAACTCGATTTGAACGGAGGAAATAATATTATCGTAGGTGTATTATAGTAATTTAGGGCGTATCCAAGCCTTACTCGCATGTATAGTGAATGACAACTACCGAGAATAACAAGAAACTTTGTAAATTATTATTTTTCTCCCCTCGAATAGGTAAATTAATGTGTCTAGCGAGTTGAAGATGTAATGAATAAAGGGAGTGATATCTAGGGGATATTAATCGCTTATGGAGAAAACAATGAATAATCAATTAAAGATCTGCGGATTGTTGATATGCCATTTAATGAAAAGTGTGTAGGCCTTCGATTTTTCCTGAATGCACTTAGATCATTTATTTTTCAAATAAAAAAGAACATTCAGTGTAACTTGATTCATATTTTTTTTGGGGTCAAGAGAAATTATGACAATGTGTGAACATTATACTTACCCTTGCAAATACATCAAATACACGAAACCAAAGAAAAATTATAGTTGTATTTTTTTGATGTCTCCTTACGCTTATATTCATATTTCTGGATAATTGTTATCTACATATTGCCCCCTCCCCCTGCCCCCCCTTTTTTTTCTATGTATTATCCCGATTCTTCTCATTTTTCTCCATAACTTGAAGGCCCAACTGGAATGCGCGTAGTTCTTACTGGTAAACTTAACTAATTAATCTATTTTTTTGAGTTCAGGAAATTAAATAAATTATAGAACACAGTAATTGATGAAAAGTATTAAAAATTGTATTGCACAGATGAACTCCTTTGTCAAATTACAAAATTATGTACATATTATACACTATTGATACACTAACAACTTTTTACAAATGTTTGCTGATTATTTCTCAGCATAAAGAAATGGAAAAATGCAATCAGCGGTCTAGATCTTCCCATGATCCATACAGATCGTCGATGATCTCAGTTTTCTCACGTTTTGCGTTACGCCGATGACGACGTCGGCGTGATGATTCGTTACTATCAGAAATGGATGCGAGCTGGTCCTCAGAGTATGATGGATATTCGGGCCACGCAGGATTCAATTCAGCAGTGAACATAGGTTCCAGTTCCAAGGAACGAATATCCTTGTGAAGGCAGAATCCACGACACTGACAGGCATCAGACTTCACCAGGCATGAAGGCGGTGGATAATAGCACGCAGGCCATGGCGAAGGGGCCGGATACAGTGGTACTGGCACCAAAATCATCTCCTTCTTGCAGAAACATCGGCGATAAGTGATGTAAAATGGTCCTCCGGGGAAGAAGTTGGGAACGAGCAAAGGCATCGACTCTCCTTGATTTCGTGCTGCTGCCATGTTTACTTCACTGTCTCGTTTTTTTGCAAGAGTCTGGAAATAAATAAATAAATGTAAGTCATTATCACCATAAAAAAAATCACCTCATCAAGAATTCAAGTAAACAATAATATCGTTGTGACAGTTAAATGAATAGGATGAATCAAATTTAAATAAAAATATTTAAGTTAGTTCCGATTCCAATTAAACAAAGTTCTCCCGTAACACTTTTAAGAAGTTTTAAGTTGTGGAAATAATATATTTTATGAGAATGGGTGACGATAATGGAATATTTTGGAATATTTGGATTCTCACCTGAATTTGTAGTGCAGAGGTTTCGAAGTGTCTAAGATAGCTTGTACTGCTTCTAGTTGTACTTCTATGACGTGTTGTCGAAGAATAATGACTGCACCGGACAACATCCCTCTTCTTATAGGAAATCATGCCCATTTGGCACCCCCTGGACAACGGTGGAAGGGGCAAGGGCCCGGAGGGGGGCGAGCCATCCTCGTGTACATTGTTTTCCTTGTCTAAGGGTAAATACCGGGAATTGTACTAATCCGGTAGGTGCCAAAACTTTCGAATTTGTAATAATTCCGTCCAAAGGTAATCTTGAGAATTGTTTATTAAATCCGTAACATCACGGGGAACTCCCCCGCTTCATGAGAATTCCAATCTTTTTAGAGAAATAATTTGGTAAATAATTGAAAATTTTCAGGAGTCTATGGAAAAATGCATTATTTGCATATTTTCACATTTCACGCAGTGTTGGTGCCAAAATTTTTCATACCTATTTGTTTTAGATTTTTCGGGTAATGCAGATCTGAAATATTCGAAACTGCTCGCCACGTAATGTTTTGGATCTATATTTCCCTGATTTTATCGAATATCTAAAAAAAATATCTGCACAAAAATGATTTTACAGGAAAATAATTATTGAGCAAAATTACTCTGGATTTTTCAGTAATAGTTAGCATTTTGTTCTCACACTTCTTCATAGCGGAATGGTATTAAAAAAATCGACGTGAGTCTATCCCACACTCATTTTTTAAAATTACACATTTTTTTCAGCAAAATCGAAAGACTTCGTATCGAAATCATATTTAAAATGTATTTCTCCGAAAAATTACACAATTTCAGAATAAAATTTTATCGTAGTCTTTATTCTAGTTTAAAAATTACTCTAGAGTCATCGGTACTAAATCATTAAGGTAAAGTCTAACCAGTGGACTTTACCAGAAATATTTCTCCACGTGGAAGATTAACGATAAGATTACTGGTCAATTCTTTTTCTCTTTACGTTCAGTAATTTTTATTGTGAACGTTCCGTAAAATTCCATATAACACAATTTTCAACGATTTTCAACGATTTTCAATAGTTGTTATTGAATTTTCGTCTCTGCGAGTTTCCCCCGTACCTGCCCATACCTGCAAACATCGGACTTTTCCCGGAATGTTATTAACAATTATTTGCATGGAAGGACTAAGGACCTGCACAGGTGTCAACCGATTTATTGCCGTCCCAGCGCTTCGAGGATTATTTCCCAACAATGGTGTGGTGCCAAAGTGATCCGATATTGGAATTTTAATTGTCCTATATAATCCGGCCGTTTTATTCAGTTGCTCAATTGCTCTCAATTGCAGGTTACCCCTCCCCTTCGAGGACAGTATTAGGGCGGCCCGCAGGTAGTGCCCCGGGGTTGCTATTATGCTATTCCAGGTCACTAGCAGTTTTATGGGGCTGAAGGGTTCTCTTTACACGTTAATCTTATGATTCCAGACGATTTTTAAGAAATATATATTGATTTTAAACTTTATTGTTCCGAAAAATCGATTTCACAAGAATTATTTTCTGGAGAAACCACACGAAGATCGACTATTCTAGAAAGGCGTCGAGAACGGGTAATATTGATGGTCTTTGGCACTGAAACCAAGTGAAAAGACACGAAAATTTCAATAGAAGATATTAGGGCACTTTGTAATTTTGAATAATGACACGAAAATCCAACTTACTCGGAAAAACAACCCATGCGTATTCCAGTACCGGCGGATTCGATCGCCTTCATCTCCTCCGGCGTCAATTCAAAATCGAAAATGTCAATATTTTCTTTGATGCGCGACTCTGTTACAGACTTGGGAATTGGTGCAGCGCCCTGTTGATACTAAAAGTGAAATAAAAAAAAAACAAAACAAATATTCAAAGATCCTAGGTCTCGCTTGCTAGATATTGTAGTGTAAATTAATGGAAATTATAAATTTAATTTGTCGAATTAAATTATTTTCAACTCACAACATATCGGCAGGCAATTTGAGCCGGGGATTTCTTATACTTTTCAGATATAGCCACTATTTGAGGGCTGTCCAAGGAATTGGCGACCCCTCGACGATTTCCGGGTCTTCCCAATGGCGAATACCCGGTCACTGTAATCTCATGCTTTTTGCAAAACTCAATCAGTGGCACTTGATTGAGATTGACAGTAACTTCGACCTGTAAGCATTTAATTTTCAAAAGGACAGAGAGGAGGGGCGAGAATATGAAACAATAATAAAAATACCTGGTTATTCACAGGCTTTATTGTGGCCACTTGCAGAATTCTTGCAATCTGCTCAGAATTGAAATTGCTGAGTCCAATGCTGCGTGTCAAACCCTGTCGCACACATTCTTCCATTCCCCTCCATGTCTCGAGATAATCAGTATCAGAGAGCAACAGGCGACCACTGGAATCCATCGGCATCATATCATCACTTTCCTAATAACAAAAAAAAAATGAATTAGCTTTTGTTAAACCGACAGCAATCCATTCACTTCATTTTCTGTAACTTTGCACAAAAATATAGAGCCACAGAAAAATAATTAAAATATTTCCTTTCAGATTTTTATGAAGTGATGATAATACAGATTATAATTATATTTTACATTTCACCATCATCATTTATTTTTTACTTGACTTATTAAGTTTTTTTTACAGCAAAAAAGGATAAATAGTTCTGTGAATAAAAAATGGTAGAATCGAGTCGAATTCAGCGATTCAGTTCACCTGAAAAGCCACTGGCCAGTGAATCAGGTACAAATCCATGTAATCGAGCCCCAAATTCTCCAAAGACTTCCTGCACGATGGCACGACTTTGTCCTCATTGTGCGCATTATTCCATAATTTCGTTGTGACAAACAAATCCTCTCTCTTTACACTACCATCATTTATCTTCTCTCTAACAGCATCCCCGACTTCTTTTTCATTATTGTAATAAGATGCAGTATCAATGTGACGATATCCAACATCAATCGCGTACTTTACAGCTTTTTCAACTTCACCAGCAACTGACTGTACAAAGAGAAATATTCATTTAAAAAATACAGGGATTTTTTCCGTCACTTTTGAGTGATATATTGTACAAAAGATTACATTTTTTAGCAACTCATTGTTTTATAGAGATGGAATATTGATTTTTTAATTTAAAGTGCGAAGAAAAATTTTCACGTTTAAATTAATTAATGACCCGCATATAGCATTCATATTTCTCAAAATTCCACGGTTTCTCTGCAATATATCGGTTGTCAACCAATTTACATTTTCAAAGTCGGCTAAATTCTGGATCATATTTAATTTTGTATTTCCCGCGTCTCATTCGTAAGAATCGGAGTCGCACGCGAGAAAATGAAGCGGTTGATACGTTATTCAATAGAAATCCATAAATAATCAAAAAAATTTGCCTTCACGTACCAGATATGTACCGAGACCAAACATAGGCATGAAGTATCCATTTGAGAACTTTATTTTGGGAACAACTGGTGCAGATATCGCTGACATCCTGATTTTTTTTCCTCTGAAGACGTAATGCAATTTTCACTGCTGCTGGTCAACAATTATTCTACGACGATTCCCCCACCTACAATCCAGGAAACCCGGAAATAAAATATTGTTTTCTATGATGTGCAACATTTGATCTATTGCGCCGGTTGTCTTCTCGCAGTGACGAGAGTTGAGTATTCAAATTTATAAGCAATAGAAGAGTTCTCAAACCTCTGGGGTTCTGCCTCATAAATATTTCGTGGAAAATATTTCGAGGCGAATAAATCCGGCGAAGATCTGCAGGATTTATTACACAATTTCATTCCGGTTCTGATAAAACGCCATGAAAAGTTTTTTTTTATTATTATTGACAAATAATATAGGTATGTATACTGATAAAGAGAATTATTTATTATCAAGAAAATAATTTAATTGAAGACTAGGGTCTTTTTTGTCTTGAAAAATATTGAAATAATGGAAAACTGAATGCACATATTTGTTGTATACTTAAAACTCTTGAACGAAAGTGGTGAAATTTACAGGAAATTAAATAGCTGTTGAATATTACTAATTTTTTTATTCGATTGATGGAATTACACTTTCACTTTTTTCGGATTTGGAGGAATTTCTGTTTCAGGTTCATCATCGTCTGTATCATCTTCATCACTCGCAGAGGCTGCACCAGTGGTCTCTATCCCAAATACAGCTTTTCCAAACCGTCTTCCTTCTATGAAAATAGTGGAAAACATTAAATACAGAATGAGAAACTTGTTGAAAATGAAATAAAAATGTCTAAACCATGAAATTGATGAGTAAAAAAAAATTCAAACACACCAGCTTTAAGAATAAGATGATGACATTGTCCTGAAACTGCAGCTTTTGCTTTGACCTCGCTGAGACCAAAAAGGGCACCACTAAAAATTAATACTTGAAGTTGAAGATAATATTTATTGAAAAATATTAATCATGCGGAGTCTAAATCATAATCTAAACTAAAATGTAGAGCATTTCAGCGGTATTAAGAAGATGAATATGTTCGACACGAATCATTCGTTGCCTTTCAATCCCTCAGAGTATTTAACAATTATGATATCGTCATGAAAAGTCATTCACATTGATTTTATATTCTAAAAGGATACAGAGTGATGATGTCATAGGGATTCCTGACCATCGTATAGTCAGCAGTGCCACTCGAGAGTATAACATTCTGCAAGAAAACAATATTATTCATTCACGAGGAAGAGAATTTTCGTTTGGTGACTACGATTTCGAAATTGTCTCTCTACAGAAGTATTCATAGAGCAATTTCAAATATTCTCCGACATTTTCATTAGTCATCGGTTTGGCAAACATTTCTAGAACATGATGAATGATTACGTTAAGATAATTAATTACTTTACTCTTTCCATAAACATGGAACAAATGGGAGTATTGAATAGCCATTTTCCTGGTGGTCCGATCGATGACATCAGCATAACGAACTTCGAAATGCACTCCTCTGTCAACAGCTTGAAGGTACAGCTTCCTCGTGAATTTGAAACTACTATTTGATGAGTTGATTGTCACGATATCAACATTCAGCTGGGAACATGCGAATTGCAGAGCAGCTTGATTCTTCGGCATTACTGCGAAGAGATGGAATTTCTTGAAACTCGCTGCTTGACACAGGGTGTACGTTTTAGCTGTGTCTGTGAAGGTGAATGTCAATCTACTAAGAATGCAAAGTTTATCTTTAAACTGATCCCTCAAGGCTTCGATATCGACTGGATTTATAACAGCAGCCAATGGATCGTTAGTATCAGCACTCTCTCCCTTTTTTTTCTTCTTCTTTACGACCTCAAGGGCACTCTCATCGAGGCTCTGGTTTATTGCTATCGTACGATATCCCACTATAAAAAAATTTATTTAGAATGTTTATTGTATTTTTTCCATTTCCCGGTTTCAGTCATCAATACACTTTTCTATTGAACAATAAAGACTCGACATTTTTGCCAAAACAATATTCTAGAACTCTGAGAAAAAGTCTTTTTTATTTGACTCTCAGTTCTGAAAAGCATTAAAATCTAAGAGACAGAAAATTGGACTAATTTTCTAATATTCAATCTACAATTGCATTAGTGGAAATTTTCGGTTGAAATTGCAAGTAAATTTTTGCACATACTTTCATGTAGTCTAGATAATAGCCGAGGTAATTTTTCCTTATTCTCTCCATTGAAATTAATACACAAATCGTAAAAGCCATTGTAAGACATTTTTATAATTTTTTGCTTTCACTTTATTCTGCTGTTGTGTTGACAATTACACGTGACATTTCAGCTTGAAAACACTCGTATAACCTAATCTTTCATCGTCTTCAAAGGAAAAGCTAGGAGGGTAAGGTTGGGTGTCAATTCAAATGACATTCATTTTTCATCATAGTTATTTACATTAAATCTTCCTATTAACAATTAATCCATCCATTACAGTTTATTGTTGAAGTGCACTACGTATATCCAATTGCAACCATCTCCCAGTAGTCATCGCAATTATAACGACACTAATTTCGTGACATTATTATTTTTCAGTAATTTATAACTTCAATTTCTTGTTTTATTTAATTGTCAAATTAATGAAACTCGCAGTGTCGGTTTCAGAATTACATTTATCAAAATGGGTTATGAATTTTCTATTTTCGTCTTATGATATCCTGCATGTACGACATGCACTCAATTGAAACTAGATTATTTTTTCTTAACATTATGATGATTCATCTCCCATTGTCTGAGTCTTGTAAATCTTGTCTCTTTCATGGAGAAGAAAAATGCAAATCCGTAATGAATATTTAGAAAATAACAGGATTTTTTTATAATTCTTATATTTTTCTTCTTGCTGGTAAGTATTGAATAAACCAGCGAGTTTTCTTGGTTTTATTTTCCCCCAAAGAATTTTCAACTAAAAAAAATGATAATTATGTGGTGCTCTAGGAGTTATTCCTCCAAACGAAAATCAAAAATCCGCTGAAAAAAAATTTTTATCGGAGGATTTTATTTGAGGAGATTTTTGTCAGGGATTTTGTCCAGGATATTTTCTCCTGGGTGAATACCTCCGGACAACCTAGCGAACAAAATGCCATAACTCAATCAATTACTCTTTGTGTTGTCAATAAACAATTTATTTTCTTTAATTGATCGCAATAATTTCGCTTCAAGTGAATATTACCAGAATACGTCAGAGAATTAATTGTGTCAAGATTGATGTTGTTTACAGGCAAATTTTTACTGTTTATAACAATTGATTAATATCACTTGCATATTCATCCTTCGGATTCGATATAAACAATAAGTTCTTTAATTTTACAAATACAAAGAAACAAAAAAATGTGGATTAAAATATTTATGCATCACTGGACAGACAACAAGCTACATCCTCACTTAAATAGTTCTTATGTTTTCAATTAATTCATTAGTAATTATTATTTTGGTTTCACTCAATTCAACGCTCCTAAAATTCTAAACGACATTTAATCTTTACCCCCGTGTAATTACGTGAATTTTAAAAATGTACTTGTTCATTAAAAATCGATACAAGTCGTTTGCACAGATTGTCGACCATGAATTAATTATCCTTTTCACCTTGTAGTTTCGAAAAAGGTGCGAAATTCATTGATCTTTACAACTCTCAAATGCTTGATTATTATTTCCGAAACATCGAATTTGTCGAGTTACATATGCACTTGAATGAATAGACATCAATAAATCATGGAGGTAAAGACACAAAATAGATTCTTTTTCCAATCTTTCAGCTTCCATGAGGAAGGTAAATAAAGGCATCTTCCATTATGTTTTACATATTCATCACTTTATTCTCATTACCATATAAATTAATAAAACTTCTCTCTTAAGCGCGTTAATTAGAGCTATTTAGGCCCAATCATGTGATTATTGAGATTTATTGGGCTTAGCCGATCCACCCCACACTCCATAGTAATTTTTTCAAATTGTTCAATGAGTCAATAACAAAATGGTAACATGGTTTCAGTCAAACGTGAATCTTTATCATACGTTCGTCTTAAGAACGGGTGATTCTGGGACGAAATTTCAGTGAAATTTTTACATTGTGTCCTGGAATGACCCAATGGCAAGCTAAACAAGGCGAAGGGTTATTGAACCTAAGACTGTCTTGGATATGAAGTTATTTCAATAATCAATGATTAATTGGCAATAAGATATTTTGGGAAAAAAATCTTTTCGTCAATGGATCATCCTAAAATGGCTCATTAACGATATAATTCAGTTGCAGAGTCGTTGAACACAAAAAATAAACTATTAAGATTCTATTGAATATTTCGATGATGAGAAATTCAACAAAGATATCTCTAGACTCAGATCTTGATCTTGAATTTCTCATAACATTATATTGGACTTGAACCGTTTTACTATTTTGTCCTGATGGATTATTGATTTTTCCTATGTATTGATTTCCAATAGCGCGAATGTTTGAACTGAGTATTGAATCCCAGAGACGGATAATTTCTCATTCCAAAGTAAGTAGAATTAATAATTCATTTGCACCATTGCTTGCCTTTTCTTTAACCACTAGAGAGAGGGTAGATTTAATGGACGTTAGGAGTTTTTTTTTCCTTCAGACAGACAAGGGGGCGAGTGTACTTCTCTTTATTATCGTGTTCGTGTAAATTTTGGGACGTCAAGTTCCATTATTTATAGTCTGTGTAAGTATTATATGTTTAGTTATTTAATTTTTTTTCTTGTAATTGCTTAATTCGTGGGCCTATATACAGGAGAAAAATAATAAGTCTAACAGGAGCAGGAGTCCTTGCCTCCCTGTTGCTCACTGGTGACACCTTGCAGATTGGTACGACCTGGTTGGCTAGGATTATGCTGAACACCAGACTCAGCAGCATTCAGATCCAAACTAAGCATTCGGGCAATGTGAATTTTATTTTATAGAACAGGGCTAATAATTTCTTTTCAAAAATCAGTCAAAACAGAAAACTATTGTATAATACTGATAATTATTAAAAATGCCTATTAATGTGAATTTGGAATAATACTAAATACTTGAAATTGTTTTTCTACATAATTGGAGGCTTTAGGAATAATCCCTTGAAAGTATTCGGGAAATAATTTTGGAATCTGAAATTGATTTCTAAGCCGAAAATATTTTTCCTCGAAAATCCATTAGGGTTTTTTTCTTTTTGACTTTTTTTCCTGACTGAAGTGGAAAAAAATAGAATTCAATAGTAGAAATACTCACCGTCCATCTCTTATACTCTGGAATATTTTCTTGGTCGTGTCTAAAAAGGCTTCCTCCACGTTGTGACCTCTGTTAATGATATTTGAATTATACAATGAGACAATAAGATTAAATATTATGCATAATTGTGAAAAGGCTTGGAAATATTGTGTGAGTGAATACTCACGTCTTTGCACTGGCTTCGACGAACATTAAACCATTCTCATCGGCAAATTGCTTTGCTTCCTCGTAGGTCACGTCTCTCTGACCCTCAAGGTCGCTTTTGTTGCCAATCAAGAATATCACCTGAGATTAAATTATTTTCCATTAACTACCACTCTTTTGAATTACAAATGGGTATCTCTTCTTCAATCTTCAAACGTCAAGAACTAATGGAACTGTTCAGGAAGATGAATAAAAATATTGGAGTGTTGATCGAAATTTCAACGAAAAATTTTGAAATGCAGAATTGATCTTACAGTGCTTGGGTTGGTGAGATTCCTCGTGTCTGTCAACCAGCTACTCAGGTGGTTATAAGTGGAACGCCGAGTGATATCATACACCATTAATGCCCCTGCTGCCCCACGATAATACGACCTGATAACAAGAGGAGTAAAATTATCACGAAATATTCAAAATCTCTGAAATTCACTCTTTCCAAATCCCCCCAAATATTTTAGATGCTAAGTACAAAAATACCTCGTGACAGCTCGGAATCTCTCCTGTCCAGCTGTGTCCCATATTTGTAATTTTATTTTCTGACCATTGACTTCGATTATTCTCGTGCCAAACTCCACTCCAATCGTGTGTGGACAGTCTGCCATAACTAAAATAGCCAAATCGTTTTCATTAGCATTGCAATCGACTAGCCAATTTGCTGTCTCACATAATCAACTCTTACATTTCTTCTCGGTGAATTGATGCAGCAGGCAGGACTTTCCTACGCCCATATCACCAATAATGATGTATTTAAAAATGTAGGAGTAATTATACGGCCCCACCGACATCGTAAATCTGTGAATGAATGAGAAATCAGTCGTAATTCAATAGTTTTTATGATCATCCGCTGATTTCTGCTGAAAATTAACCATTTGCTGCCAAATAGCAATACTTTTCGACTTTCAAATAATCATCATTGAATGAGTTACATAGAAAATTTCCATTAGAAAATTTCCAATCCGTGACAGCGAATTCTCTCAAGTATTTTAAATCATTGTTTCCAATCACTCAAGCAGTCGATACTATAATACAGGAATGGAATAACGTTTTTCCTTGGTATAATTATTCAACCGCATTAAGAGGTACAAAAATGCAGTAGTTGATAACAGAAAGATATTGATCAAGTGAATGTTTTCGAACCGTCGACATCTGCAGAGTAAACTTGTTGTTTGTTTAATTTATTTATCAGACAAATTTGTTCCTTGTTATACCACAATATAATTTGGTGCCTCAAGTTAATTAGGCGTGACTCAATCTCTCTGCCTCGTTGTGAAAAAAGGTTTTAATTTCAAGTTGCTGGTCATTAAAACAATGCAAATAGCTTCAGTTTTCCCATGAAGCCGTTTATCACAGGGATAACTGAGGACTGTCTAGTGCGGAATTAATCTTATTCAATCCCGGATGAGAAGTCAATGGGACAATTATCTTGAGCCATGAGGAAAGGTAATTCAGCAATCATGAGTGAGTCATTGATTTGCGAACAAAAGAATATTCTCAAAACTCGTTAACTCGTTATTCAAATTTAATTATTCACTTTTAAAATCATTGAATTTGATGATGGTAATTGCTCATTTACACTCCACATGGCCATATCCCATTCGTGGATTACTCCATAAACTTTCATTGTTTTATTTTTTCTGGTGAATTGAAATGAATTCCCTGGAGAACAATTCGCTCGTCCCATGAACGATAACGCGCCGCTATCTCTCCACAACAGAACGATTCTTTCATATTAAATTGCACACAGACGTCCACATAGCAATCTAATTACAAAGAAGTCCGAATTTTTGAAAACGAAACATCTCCGCAAATGTTCTGCTCTTTATTTCACTCAAAACTGTTTTTTTTAATTTAATCTCTGGCGTTTAAAGCGTTTTTACATCTTCAATGTTAATAGAAATCATGACGATAGCTTAATAACAGATCAACGTAAGTGTCAAATGGTTAAATTCAACAAAAGTTTAAAGGAAACCAGGAAATGCTAAACAATATATCAAAACTTCATTTTAATTGAATTAAACTTTGTCGAACTTACGTCCTTGTGTTATTAAGCTGTCCATATCATCAAGCCTGCATGTAATCATGCAATCAATGATCATACAATAATCCAATTGTGAAGAATATGGAAAGATAAAGAATTGGAATAAGGGAAGAAATATTTAGAACTCTTCTGTAACAGAAGAACAAGAACATTTTTGTGCACTCAACATTCGATGGTTCAAATAATATTTATGACTGGATAATCAACCAGAATCGTACCCCAATGACGTAATTATCCAACAGTACAAATCAAGCATTGACCAGGGACTTATTCAGAGAACAGACCAAGTCAACATTCACGTAACAATACGATAATAATTCATATGTTCAAATGAAAAATTCAAATTCCAAAAAAAACACTGAGAACATCTGCAATATTTATTTATCTCAGACTACATTCTGCTTTCCACTTCTAGGAGCTGAAATGATATTTATCATTGTATTGTAACCCACAATCATCTTCAAAGGAGAGAGTTGTTAACGAGTACGAATGAATGAAAAGTAATTAGAGATTTTTGTTTTCGTGAATTGAATGGTCAATTTACAAGACTCGATATCGCATAACAACAATATGAGACAATCTAAAAAATCAAGCAAAAATACGTCATTGAGCCGTTGGAGAGAATTCCATTGATGTCAACGAGACACGATCTCAAAAAAAAGCAAGCACTTCATGGAGTTGTTTAATTTTTGCCCTGAGGAATTAACTGAAATTTAAACGTCAACCCCACAGTATTTTCAATGGGTCATCGGGCTTACCTTTGTGGTCAGAAGGTGTTTTCCAAGAATCCTATTAAAACCCCGTTAACTCGTTCACCTCCGGCGACAGCTCGAGCCCAAAAATCGCCGTTAGATCCACGAATTCATTCACTATTCCATGAATAACGACAGTGGCCAATTCTCCTCGGTATTGTCAATTAAAAAACCGTAAATTAATTATCGAAACAAATTCTTGTGTATCGACACACGCAATATGGCAGTTGACTGTCTAACAACTATGGCGGCGCATAAACGTCAAACCACCTGTCAATTATCACATCAATCACCAACGATTTTTCATTACACCGAGGACATAATCAGAGATTAATGACAGTTTTTTATTAAGTTCTCACATCTGCCAGAACATTTTATTAAATTATTCATCTTTTTTCCACAGTTGTTGAACGAAGATTGACTCCCCCAGACGGCGGGAAATTCAAGTGTATTGTACGATTCCAGTAGCATTGTACATTAATTGTAAGAAAATTCGTTTAATTCCCATTAATTAGCATTATAAAAGACTTCTGAGGATGTTCCATTGAAAGGGCTAAATAGGATAACGAATAATTAATTTGGCTGTTGCAAAAGTAAATAAATTGTTAAATGAATCACTTGAAATTTTTTTGGGGGCAGTGGCACCCCTGAATGTTGGACAAATGGCGACGACAAGGTGCAACACTGGCACACAACAGCGGTCACTCCATTTCCGTTATCTTTAGACGCACAAGAAGGGCAGACGGGCCGGAATAATAAGCCATTATTTAATAAACCTAAAACAATACTAATTAAAACCCACAAGAATTCAACGAAAATGACCAGCAGCATTAACCCAGAAGCAACATTTATTTACACCTAAAAGCCGATAAGCGCAAAGTGCCAAGAATAATTCCAAAAAACAGGAACAAGACGAGTAAAAAAAAAACGCTAATACTACTTACGGTGGGAAAAAAAAAACGCAAAGGAACGGGGAAGAATCGAGAGATCGAATGTGTGTGGAATTGAAAACGAGAGGGGGAACAAGCCATTTCCCCAACGTGTGATTTTTTGTTACAAGTTTATCGAGGAGAATCAAGTATTTCCAAGTGTTTACATTGTTATTTATTTAAAAAAGAAAATACCGAATGATTGTTGAGTACGGGGTATCAGTGAATGCGGTGTTTATTAATTATTATTTATTGAAGCATCAACAATTTATCAATTAAGACAATTCATCGAGTGAAATTGAGTGAGAAAAGCCATAAGCAGTCGAAAAAATCGTAATCGATCGGATTTTTCGCCACTCTCTCGTGTTTGTGGACTCGTAGCCTCGGGGCTCCTCTACACCAGTTTTTTTTCTTTTCTTTTTTTTTTTTTTTCTTCAAGCCCCAGTGTGTTTTAACGGTGTACAAGTGTGTGTGTTATGTCAACGTAACCTGCGGCAGCACTGCCGCCTCTTTAGTAATTAACCAAACAAAATGGACACCAAGATAACGATTAAACGAATGCCCGTGAGATTGTTTTAAATGGAATACCCGGGAGAATGGATTGACGATAAATAACGTAAGTTGTGAGCAATACTCATGTCATATCAACGATTATTGTATTTTGTCTCGATGCTGGATTTGCAAAATTATTGTGATGATTGCCGTGCTCTTGCTGGTTTTTTTAGTCGGTTTCTTTGAGCTCCTTTTTTTTCGTTTTCCACCGTGAGGTTTTTATTTTCTTTATTAAAATTGTGGCACCTACATGTGCCCCTTATTCTTATTCGCCAGGTGTTGGGTTACAACTGCATGGAAAAAAAAAGGGAAATGGAGAGGTTCACTACAGCCGGACGCCACACATTTTTGTACTCATGCACAGAGAAAAAAGTCGACGGTTTGACTATTACTTGAGGAGTTTATGATTCGGTTTATTACTTTCTGGTGAGGGGACTAATGAACAGAGTGAGGGGTTCAACCTGTTTTTTGGCCAATGCCAGGATTTTTTTTATCTTTCGTTATGTTAGGATGTGCAGGATTATTTTTGGTTTACATTGGTTTAAGGCGAATTGTTGAATTACTCTGTCTCTGTTGCTCGTCGTGACCGCAATATCGGTTGATTGTTGGGTTTTTTTTATCGACTCTTTACGTTATTAACGGTACTTTGTATCGTTAATCGTTGGGGATTCTTCATTATGATTGGAGATTAGTTTTAATGTCAGTTCGCGGTGATTCTACTGTGTGAAATTGTTTCTTTTCTATAATTTTTTTTGCTGTCGCACTGGAATGCAGTCAATGATTCTTGTGATTTTTTTTTTACATTTCAATTCGACATTGCTGGTTTATTCGGAATTGAGTTATTGTTGTATTCCTCATTGCACATTGTGAGTGTGTCTATTATATTCTGCGCTGTCAGTTTGAATGCCTCCGAATTACATAAACCGCTCGAAAAATTCATCTCGATGGATGGAATAATTTCTAAATTATCATCTACACAGTTAATTGAACAATAAACGATTGATTGCATCACCATCTGAGAGCAGGATCATCGTGAATCTAGAGCGTGCAAAATAAGACAATTCGTATTAGTTTTCTTGGAATTCTCAATGAGCAAAAGACAACTCGATGAATATTTTGCGTGTGAAACAACTCAAAGACGTGAGCCAGATAAAAATCCACTAATCGTATCAATAAATAATAGCGAATGATAAGGAATGGATAAATCTAGAACTGGAGTACATTTTTCGATGTTTTTGAATTTTCGAGGGGAAATCAGTTGATCAGCTCGTGATTTTGGTGTGGAATTTTTATTGGAAATAGTTGTTGTTTGATTTTTCCGGTGTCGTCTTTGTACTTGGAGTATTTTACGAGAGGTATTCGAGACACTCGTGTGTAAAGAAAGGAATAGAGAGGGAGGGATGAAATGGGGGAAAAAGAATTGAGAGAGATGAGAGAGAGTGAGACATGGGGCAACGGGAGAATCACAGGACGCTATTGGTTAATCAAGTATCCTGCGGCTCAATGCTGCTTTATAAGGTAAAATCTGATTGGTTCTCTTTCTCGTGTAATTCGGGCCCCGCCTTGCTACCGCCAATTGCTCGATTCGTCTTCCACTCGGTGCTACTCCAAATAACTTTTATTACTTATCCCGAAAAAGAGAAAATTCTACAGTGTTTTATTTTCGTTTCGATTGTCCGGGAGATTCATTTCTTCACTCCAATCTCCATCAATCCTATCCTCACAGGTCCGGATCCTTTCAATGACTCTTCAATGACTCTTTCAATTTTCGCAAATATCTCAGGAAGACTGGACTTCGATGCTTTCCTCTACAGAATTTTACTGAAATATGATTCCGGTGGATTATCACTCACTCGCAGGATTTTTAAATAATTAAATTTCCTAGCATAAAAAAAACCGTCGAAATCCTCAGCTATTCACGGCCAATATCGAAATCTCACACTAACGAAAAAGATAATTTCTGTCAAAAAAAACTCCATAACCATCCCTCCCCCCTTTTTCTCAACCAAATTCGCTGAATACTAGTAAATTCAATCAAGACATAATTTGGCTTGTGCAATAAAACAAAAACCGAGAATGAAAATAAGAATGTCAAAGAAACAAATTCTTCCATCATTACTCCATATCAAAACTTAATCTATATAAAAAAAAAATTCATGCAAACCCTCGGGACGATCGTCGAACCCATAAAAAAATTATCAACAATGTAATTACATTATCCTCAACTGACATCGCGACATCACTGGCATGCAAATATCCCCGGAAAAAACAATTCTAACGTCACGCATGACTCACTCTAATTACCACGTCACTATCATTCGGCGAATCGGAGTAATTTTTTAAGTTTAAAAAAAAGCACAACCCACTGTAAAATAGTACTTACCCTCCGTCGGCACCGAGTCTTTCCCCCCCCCGGCAGATGTCCGCACGTGTTTCCACCTCCGAATTGCCAAACAATTTCTGGGAAAATCCCCGAGAAAAGCCATCTCCAAATATTTTTTTCATTTTCCACTCTCCATCAAAATCATCTCTATAATCCACATAGAATAGGAAAGCATCCCGTCCACCCCCTGGGAAAATCGATATCCATCGGTGATTGATGTTGCTCCAGGATAATCAAAACCCTCACCCCACTCCATTCGCTCTCCCCTTCCCAATTTTCTTTTCCATTCGTAACGAGATAAATTTCACATTCAACAAAAGAAATGATTGGACTCCTATGTCTGGTGCAATGTTGAATAAGAAACAGGAGGACATGAGGAAGTATTGGCGAGTGGATGAGGAGGGAATTGTAGTTTCTCCGTTCTTCATGGGTGATCCAGGAGTCGGTGAGGATTCATTCCTGTGGAAAACCCCAACACAATGGCGACACAATCGTGTGCGGAAAGACCGTGCCATTGCTTTTCCGCCCTCTCTTATTAATTTTCCTCTTCTTTCTTTTTTTTTTCTTCAATTTTATTTCGTTATCCGGAGACCGTCGGCACGGAATAATCGTCTTCACATTCTGCTCGTCTCCATTCCGGTTCCTCTTTTTCAAAGAAGGTGGAGAAAAATATAAGTAAGAGAAAAGGGGAGAGGAGTAAAAAAAAGGGATAAATGAGGGGTGCGCGGTGGCCCCCGTGTGGCACGCTCCTGCGCACATATTTATATATCTCCATTATATATATCATTACGTATATACCGAATATATTCAACCGCACGAGGCTCACTTTTTGGCGAAAATTCGTGTGCTGGCGGCCGGCGTACACCACTCCCCCCCACCCTGGGGTGTCGTCCCCTGGCCCCTGTCTTCTGTCCTCTTTCCCCCTTTCCCCCCTTTTCCCCCTTTCCCATTTCACAGATGAGATTCCCAAGAAAAAAAAACGAGATACACGTATTGGGGAATATAAAAATTTTGATGGTGATGGTGTCGATGGCCGTGGGGGTAGAGAGACGAAAAACCAAAAGGAGAGGACAGCTTCTGACTGCGAGAGGGTGGGTGGAAGAAAAAGGACAGAGGGATATCCCCCCTCGGTGCGCCCTCACGGTGGGGGAGCGGTATTGGGAAGAAGATGGAAGAGGAAAGAGGAAATGACCGAGACGGGATAGTGAGAGAGATAAATGGGATGAGGCAAGGAGAGAGGGTGGATACTCACACCTCTTTTGCGCGGAGGGGGTGGGGATTTGAAAAAGGGTGAGGGGAATTGGAGAATGGGTGAAGGAGTGAGAGGATGGGGATGGCAGTCAGGGAGACGACGAGGACGAGGACGAGGACGACGACGACGACGTCGTCGTTTGGTTTGAAGGAAAATAGTGTGAAGGCTTGTGTGTGCGCGCGTTGCCCAGCGCCGCCGTAAGAGGGTGGCTCATTCTCCTCGGAGAATGTGTCTCACTTGCACTGGTTTTTCGAAGGCATGTCTGTCTCATTTGCCCGGGCAGTGGTGCTTCAGCAGTTACCAGTTTAAAGCCATTTCACCGAGGCCTGTAGTGTAACAGTAATGCTAAGTTGGAGTTTGAGGGACACGATAGCCGCCGCGTCGTCTCTCGGTAAAACCCCAGTCAACCCTGCGGATTCTACCGTTGTCGGATATTTTTGTTTAATGTGAGGGAGTTAAGGGGGTATCCCCAGTCGGATTCGATAAAATTTTCAGTCGTTGGGGGTTAAGGGGAGGCTATTCCAAATGAAGGATTGGGGAATTGGGAGTGTTATGTGTGTGAGGGAAGAGTGACGCTAACACCCGGATTGGGGGATACATAACCGGAAAATATCGAGCGTCGAGACACAGTTGATTTGTTGATTTTTATCGAGTGTTTGGTGAACAGCTTGCCCAAGAGGTTTTCTTCGGGTAACCATCAGCGAATGGAGGTGACAGATATTTTTTGTCTTGGTTTTACCCTTGCTCGGGAACCTTTTTTTTTTCAGGGGCAATGGCGTATGCCGGGGGTATGTGTGTGTTTGGGGGTTTTTTAAATGTGTCGCGATGTGAAACGATGCCACGAGGATATGCCGTGGCGTCGAGGATTCTCGATGTCGGCGGAATGCGTCCGTAAGGGAATTTTTCGTGTGTGAATGACATTGGCCATTCGCGTTATTCTGTGATTGTTTTTACCGGGGTTAATGTGTGGTTTTATAACGAGCTTTTGGACGTTTGTGGATAATGTGAGGCTTTCACTGTGAGAGAACGACTTGGCGACGTACAGGTGCGTTCAGATTATTTTATTTATTTCAGTTGCCAAGAGGTCACACTCTTTTACTCCATTTCTGTTGTTGTTCACTCCGAGTGTTGAAAAGCGTTGGAAGTGTAGCGGATTTTTTTTAAGTGGAATGATATTCGTGGGAAAGTTTAGGTGAAAAATTAAATATCGCCGATTGATTTCGAGATGTTCGGAATTTATTGCTAATTTCTGTCAGTCGCTTTGCTCTTTTCATTGACGTTCTACTTTTCTTTTTTTTCCATGTGAGTACTTTCTTACTGCTGTGTTGTTAATGAAACCCCTTTGGCGTTTTTTTTTTTACTGTCGGCGACCTGAATTTTTCAACTCGGGATTTGGAGACGATTGATTTTCGACGGTTGAAGAGAATCCGGTGGAGGGAGGACGTCCGGAGTTTTACTGGTTTTTTCTTGGGGAATTTGTTGTTTAATTTTTGCCGAGTGAGTTGGGTAATTTGTTGGGGGGAAATTGAACGGTTGTGTCAGCAGTTTTATTCAATGTTTTGCGGTTGTTTCGTGCATGCGGAAGGTTTTTCTCGTAATACGTAAGAAAAATTGTTGGGACGATGGAGGGAAATGGTACATTCTTGAGGGGAAAGGTTATGGCGATTATGATAATATTTGAAACCATAAGCGTATAGCTTTTCCCCTTTGGCGTGCATCAGAGTCAACGGTTTTTTCTCAGGGAGGAGTTGAAACTCCGGAATATTTTCGTAATAGTCATTTATTTAATTGTATCGCTAACCAAGATTACGTACTCGAGTTTCTTTACTACTTGAGAATAATGATCTCATGGAAATTCATCGCGGATCAGAGTTTTTCGAGCATATCAAGCTATTAATAATGATGATAAATCATTGTCATGGTGAAAATGATCTATTGACGTGTAAATATTATTTTCTTTCTAATTCCACATTTGTCGGAGATAATATCGGTAATAATTTCGTATTTTTTTCGTTCACTCACTTCCAAGGAATTTTTCAAAAACTTATCTAATGGCTAAAACGACTCGTTATCCTTCGCATCTTCTCTATTCAATTAATTGAAATTATTTTCTCACGGAAACATTAAATTCCGAAAAGAAGGTGATTCTCGGTGGAATCCCTCCAAGGACTATTGAACTTAATTATTTCCTAGACGTGATTCTCATAATTCATGGCTAATCAATAATTTTTGTTCCTTTACGTAAAATATAGATTGAAAACTTTTACAGATCGGAAAACTTGAGATGAATTAAAAACTATTTTTCATGATAAAAATAGGAAAATTGCTTGGCAGAATTGAATATCGAATTCCACTTGGGAATCAATTTTTGCTCAAGTATGATAAAAGTGGAATATTGTGGAGGGAATCTTGTGTATGTAATTAACTCATGGATTACAGTCCCAATGGTTGTAAATTTCGTTTCCTGGAAAAATGAGGAAGGATTTAGTCACTTACATATTTAACTTTTGTTTTAGCCGGTGAATAATTATCGGCCGTAATACCTCAAAGCCTTCAAAATAATCGAACATTTATCGATGTTTTTTGTTCTATTGAATGACACATTCATGTTCGAACCCGTGTGGTGATTGAATTGATTAACGCATTCTTTATGAAAAGGAATAAAAGCTATTGATTTTTTTGAACGTCGCACAAGGTGACATCAGCTGAATAACAGTCTAGAGTAGTTTTGCAATTATTGAATCATTACGAAATCTGAATTGTTCGGTCATTCGTACTTGACTATTATTTCAAGCTCATTGAAGACTGGATGATTAGCCCACGTAACGCGAGTCAATATTGCAAATTCAGATTTCATTGCAAAACTTATGTCAATTGTTGGCATTCAGGAAAATTTGACGGAAAATCTCAACGTGTACTTCGAAAAAAAAATTCCATCCAAAAGAAAAGGAAAAAGAACAGGGAATAAAATTTTCCAGCTAGTAGAAGTGTTTCTTGTAATTAGCCCCGATAATTAACGTTTATTATTGCTTATATATGACAAACATTTTTCTGAGCGAATGAACTGCTCGTCGTAACTGACGGGTGAATTTTGTCTCATTGGAAAATTCTCTTCTTCTGATAATTGCCTAGTCGCTTTTTAAATATTTCTAGTTAACTGGAATTTTTGATAATGATCTTGATTATTTTTACAATAAATCGGACACTCACTGAGTACCACTTGATATTTTAAATGAACTACAATATTTTTAAACTTGCATTGCAAACAAATGTCTCAGGTTTTGCAGAAAAATTTTCTAGTCCGCACAACTTGACACCTTTATTCATTTTTTTTTATTCACCTTTATTCAATAATTTTTAAGATCTTGAGATATTATGACTGATAATTTTATTTCCAATCCTGATGTCGCCTGTAAATGAAAAGTCCAAGATTTTATGGGTCAATGATTTTATTTTCAACTAACAAGTGAAATTTCAATGGACGTGGCATTTTATTAAGCATCTGAATCTAATGTGATTCCTCCATCTCCATTAGATTAAATATTCCTTACAGGTCAAACGATATGATTCAATTCCTCTTCGCAATCAGCTTGACATTCATATTAGTATTCTGTGCGACTACAGAACTTCTCAAAAACTTTTCTTCTAACGACACATCCGAAGTTAAAAAATCGCATGAATAATCTTCCATTCTATCTAAAAAGAAAAAAATATTAATCAAAATGTAAGTCGATTTAGTTGATAGGAAAGTTTTCGGAGAATCTCTCCGATATCAAGAGAGATATAGAAATCTCTATATTTATACTCTGTTGCACTTTACCAGTTGGTTTCTGAATTATTCTGTGGAAATTCCTGAGTCGAATAATACTTCTTTCTTCTGAAGACTAACCGGTAATTTTTACTATTCGCTCTAAAAAATGTAGGAGAATTCTACACTCTCTCTTGTTAAAAAATTCAGAAAACATATTTTCAAGTTGTTTTTCCTCTTATTATTCTCCCTCTTCGCGTCATCTAACTGCATTATATGTATACTGGCTTGTCTAAAGGATGGAATGCCTCGAGAATGGCAGCTAGAGCCAGAGATCCAATTGTCATAATTTGGTTTTGAAATGTTCTCTCTTGCCAAACCAGTGGAATGCTCTGAAATTTGTTTTATTCTCCCTGTTCCAGAATATTCACCCCAAAAATCAATGATGGGTACGCCAGTGACAATACAAAGAATCGTGAAATATCCTCTTGAGCCTGAGATGGAGGCGAAGAGTCGTGAAGCGTAATAGAGACATGGACTCGTACGATCTATTTGGAGAAGATGTCAGTGGCTCGATGCTCGATGCGCTACCTGATCTTGGGGGAAATGATCATTTTGATCCGTCAGGTGCTACAAATACTGGTGTAGCTAGAGATGGGGCTAATGCAGGGCCCAACGGAGGTGGGAGTTACATTAATCCGCCCTACAGTATTTCACAAGAATCTCCATTACAAAAATTAACATCATTCGGTGGTGGTGATCAATTTGGCAGTGGTAATCAATTGCAAAGTCCAGGTGGACAAAGAGCCACCATGTTTAATCAAAATTTGGGTAATTTTGATGGTAGTGCCCCACAGAGGGCTATGGTACCAGGATCATTTGCTAATCAAGTGAGAGGTATGGGCCCACAGCACAGAGGCCCACATCCCCCAAATCCAAATCAGTATCCTGGTTACTCAGACAATATGTATTCAATGGAGCAACAGCATCCAATGGCACGTGGTAATATTAATATGGATCCAACAATGCAGGGTTGGCCAAGTGCTGGTGGTACTTATTCACAGATACAGAGGCATTACAATCAAATGGCCCCACAGCCAACGGCCTACAGGCAACACATGCCTCAGTATTCACATCAGCAGGATCAAGCCAATATCAATCAAAAATTACAACAACAACAGCAGCAGCAGCAGCAGCAGCAGCAACAGCAACAACAACAACAACAACAGCAACAACATTTCAATGCCCAGCAAGGAATGCTCAGTAGTATGGGTGTACCACATCAGGCTATGCAGCCAGGTGCATCAGCTGGTGTCTATCAACATATGGTAGGACAACAGCAGCATTATCAGCAGAGTAATCCTGCTCTATACCAAGCAGCGAGTGGCTACACAGGGTTTACCATTCACCAGCAACAGGCCCAACAGCAGGCCCAACAGCAGGCTCAGCAGGCTCAACAACAACCACAACGAATGCCACATCATCATCCGTCCCATGCGACACATCAAACTCATCCGTCGCATCCACAGTATCCACAACATCCTCAACAACATCCTGTCAGCCAGCCCAGTATGGACCCACAGTATCCTCATCACACTGCCCCAATGTTTAATCAGCCCCAGCATCCACATCCAGGTGGACATCCAGGGCCTCAACATCCTCCTCAGCATCCACCCCAACATCCACCTCAACTGCCCCCTCAACTTCCTCCTCAACTTCCCCCTCAGCATCCAGGACAGCAGCATCCAGGTCCCCAGCATCCTGGTCCACAGCATGCCGGCCAAGCTGGACAATTTGGACCAACGAAACTCGCAACAAGTCCTCAATACAGAGCAGCATTTCCCCAATTATCACCCCAGATGTCACCAAGACCACAAATGTCACCAAGACCGCCAGCTGTACAACAGCAAATGTCTCCACGTCCAATAATGTCCCCGGCAAAGCCAACGACATTATCACCCCATCCACACGTACAAATGCCACATCAGCAATCAGGCGCCCCAAATGCTGTGTCAGTCTCTCCATGCCCACCATCAATGCCAATGCCAACGTCAACTCAACAAACAACTCTTCAGGCGTTGGAACAAATGGTGATACCAGGTGTACCAAATTCAAATGTACCAGGAGGTGATTATACTCAATTTCAATCGCGACCACCAATGCCACATCCATCGAGTATAATGCCGCAATCGAACGCACAAAATTCAATGCCACCAGTGACTGGTCCTCGTATGCCAATGCCCTCCCAGTGGCCACATCCACAGCAATCCCAACCACCGCCACCATCACTCCCACAGCAGGCACCGCAACAACCACCATCTCAGCAGCAACAGCCACCACAGCAATCAGTACCACCATCCCAGCCGCAGCCGCCGCCGCCGCCTCAGCAGCAGCAACCGCAGCAGCAGCAGCAGCAACAACAACAACCACAACACCAGCCACAGCAGCAACCACCACCACAACAACAACAACAGCAGCCGCCGCAGCAGCAGCAGCAACCGCCGCAGCAGCAGACACCACCTCAGTCCCATCAGCCACCCCAGCCCCAGCCTCAAATAAGGCCGACCATGGGGATAAATGACAGGAGCATGATGGAACAACAGCCACCAACCTCAGAGTCAATATTCCCAGTGAATGGCAATGACAATATTCACAGTGTTGTGGAAACAACGACACATGACGATAATCCACCAAGTATAACTCAATCTCAATCTCCTGACACTGTTGAACCAGTTAAGCAGTCGAGTACAGAGCTCTTGAGCCAGGATCCAGTGTTGAGCAATTCACAGTTAAATCTCCCAATTGAGCAAACCCAAACAATGAAACCGTCAATTGAACCAGTACAATCATTACCAGCATCGAGTACCAGTGGCAACGTTGAATGCAGTACGCCCTCGCCCTTGATGCAATCACAAGTGGAGGTAGCACCAGCCGTCTCCACAGACAACGAAGTATCAGACATAAAAGTCAACGAACAATCCCCTGAGATTAACACATCCCAGCACTCAATGAGCTCGAGTATGCAATTCCATGATAATCAGGGCCACATGAGTCAACAGGTGGCACCAGTTAGTCAATCTCAGATAAATCAATCACAGACGTTGAGTCAGTCCCAGGACCAGTCGCAGATTCAGGGACAACAGCCACCGGTGCAAATGCCTCAAACGCCACCGATGAGCCAACCTCAGGCCCAGATACCGCAGCAGCCGCAGCAGATTTCACAACCTCCAGTGAGTCAATCACCCCAGCAGTCTGTACAGCAGGCTGTGCCACCAATGGGACAGGCTCAGCCACAGCCGCAGATGACTTCACAGTCACAACCCCAAACGCAATCACCCCTCATGCCAGCTCAGCCACAACAGCCTCATCTGAACCAAGTCAACATGATTCCCACAAGCAATTCGATTATGCCTCAGATCCCACCGATTTCTACTCAAATAACTCAACCCAACTCCGTTGTTCCACCTCACATACCATCTCAACAGATATCTGGGGGGCCTCTTCCCCCTCACCAAACAGCTGTTTCAATCCCAAATAACCAGCCTCCACCACCTCACACGATGCAACCGTGTGGTTTCGGAGAGTACACGAACATGCAGAAGCCTAATATGTACCAGAGTGACATGATCGTTGGCTCTGGGCAGCAGTATCATCCTGGGGGTGAAATTATTCCTGGTGCCATACCCAACATGTATGGCATGTCGACAACACCTGGTGGTACTTTCAACAATGCCCATGCTCCAGTGACACATCATCAGGAGCGAGCAGCTCTGCAGCAGCAACTGCAAGAGCTCTTCTGCATGCCTCCAGCTCAGGAGAATCAGGAGAAAATTGTTGCCCTCCAGGAGAAACTCCAGGCACTTCAACAACACGAGACAAACGACCAATGCAGTGGTGGCCCTGGTTGTATTCTGGCAACACCGATGTTCCAGTCAACAGTTGTTGATAGCCCCCAGGTGTCCAGTACAACTGGCAGGGGTAGGAGTAAAGGTGCACCACGAACGAAAAAAAATCGCAAGAAGGCCGATAAGGAGGCAGCAGCACCCATCACCAGTCAACCTGTTCCAGCACCTGAGCAACCGGTCTCTGAGAATCTAGTCACTCCTGGGGACAGCAGTATCGCTGACAGTGTTGCTGATTCAGAGGACAATAAACCCTCGTCTGGGGATCACGAGGAGGAGTGGAATAAAACGAGAAAATCCAGGGTGCCGAGGAAACCGAGAAAGCCCAAGGAGCCAAAGGAACCTAAAGAAATAAAGATCAAGAAGGAGAAGGTACCCAAGGAGTCCAAGTCTCCCAAGGGAAGAAAAAAGAAGGATAAAGAGGGTCGTGAGAGCTCGAAACGCGGGAGAAAGAAGATTATAGTTTCGGATTCAGCTGATGAGGAGGTTGGGGATGAACATGAAGATGTGTCCGAGTCATCAGCTGTGCAGGACGCTGATGTCAAGTCAAGTGAACCTCCCATACAAGATGATCAGGAATTGGTAGATTCTTCGACGACTGAACCGATACAAACGGAGGGTAAGGAAGAGGGTGATGACAAGGGGGATAATGAGGAGGCAGTCGAGGAGGACGAGAAGAAGGAAGAAGTGAGGGAAGCTGCTGCCGTGGAAACTGCGACCCCGGCTAAGAAAAAATCATCGAGAAAACGTTCAGTGGGGGGTAAGGGGACGTCAACGAGAACACCGAGGGCTTCGAAGAAACGGAAGAGCAGGATAGCTCCTGATTCTGATGGAGAGGAACTTGCTACCACTCCACCACCATCACCGGAGGCTGACGATACAAATAAACGGAGATCGTCGCGTAATACTCACAGGAAAAAGTACGTGGATGACGTGATGCTAAGATTCTCTGATGAAGAGATGCCAGCACCCGATGCTAAGAAGTCTGATGGCTCCACTGCTAAACCAACGTCCACCAAACGTGAAAATGAGGGAGGTGACGTGGGGCCAAATAAACCAAACTTCGTGTACATAAATACTACTGATGAAGACTCGATGGTTGTGCAGCACATTCTCTGCATGAGAATGGGTAAACGTGAGATAAAACCAACGCCAGTGGCTGAAGTTAAGCCTGAGGAGGGTGACAAGGAGAAGACTGAGGAGGACAAAAAGGAGGAACAAACTGAAAATGCTGAGGCTGAAAAGAAATCTGAGGAACCAGACAAGGAGGAGCATGCAGATGAAAAACCAGAGGAGGAGAAGGAAGCGAAAGCAGAGACCGACCAAATCGAGAATAAGAAAGACGAGGAAGAGAATAAGCCTCAAGAGACTGGCGAGCTTGAAGTGAAGGATGAGAAGCCTAAAGAAGAGGAGAAAACGGAGGAGACAGAGCCTCAGGAGCCCGAGAGCACAGCCACTGAGCCCTCTGAAGCCACAGAGGTAAAACCTCAAATTGTAGAGGTCGAGGAGTACCTAGTGAAATACAGAAACTTTTCATATCTTCACTGCGAGTGGCGAACCGAGGAGGAGCTCTACAAAGGGGACAAACGAATTCAGGCGAAGCTCAAGAGATTTAAGCAGAAGCTCCAGCAGAGCACAAACATCTTCGAGAACACTGAGGACGATCCATTCAATCCTGATTTTGTTGAAGTCGACAGAGTCCTGGATGAAGCCACTCACACTGATCCCACAACTGGAGAAACCGTCAGGCATTATCTAGTGAAATGGCGGTCATTGCAGTACGAGGACTCCACTTGGGAACTCGAGGAGGACGTCGATTCCGAGAAGATTGCTCAGTTTAGGAAATTCAATAAGGTACCATCCAAGGACCAATGGAAGCCGAAGAAGAAACCCACTGCCTCTCAGTGGCAGAAGCTCGATGAGTCACCGGTTTATAAATCTGGTAATAGTTTGAGACCTTATCAACTCGAGGGACTCAACTGGCTGCTCTTCTCCTGGTACAATGGCCACAACTGCATTCTTGCGGATGAGATGGGTCTTGGGAAGACTATCCAGTCATTGACCTTCGTTGATGCTGTCTACAAGTATGGAATTCGTGGGCCTTTCTTGATTATTGCCCCCCTGTCAACTATTCCTAATTGGCAGAGGGAGTTCGAGGGGTGGACCGAGATGAACGTTGTGGTTTACCATGGCTCGGCAGCGAGCAGAACGATGCTGCAAGAGTACGAAGTCTACTACAAGAATGACAAAGGCAATCAGATCAAGGACCTGATCAAGTTCAATGTTCTCATAACGACATTTGAGATTATCATCACTGACTTTAACGAGCTGAAGGGCTACAATTGGCGTCTATGTGTAATCGATGAAGCTCACAGGTTGAAAAATAGAAATTGCAAGTTGTTGGAGGGGCTCAGACAGCTCAATCTAGAGCATCGTGTGCTTCTCTCTGGCACTCCCCTCCAGAATAACGTCAACGAATTGTTTTCACTTCTCAATTTCCTCGAGCCCAATCAATTCGCGAGTAATGAGGCTTTCCTCAAGGAATTTGGCAACCTAAGTAGCGAGGGAGAGGTTAATAAGCTTCAATTACTCCTCAAGCCCATGATGCTCAGGAGATTAAAGGAAGACGTGGAGAAGTCACTCGCTCCCAAGGAAGAGACTGTCGTCGAGGTTGAGCTGACGAATATCCAGAAGAAGTATTATCGAGGAATTCTCGAGAGGAACTTCTCGTTCCTCGCTAAGGGCACCACCTCTGCCAATATTCCCAATCTGATGAACACGATGATGGAGCTGAGGAAGTGCTGCATCCATCCGTTCCTCCTGAATGGTGCTGAGGATCAGATCCAGCTGGATTATAAAACTGGAGAAAAAGAGGACTCTGACGCTTACTACCACGCCTTGGTGAATAGCTCTGGAAAAATGGTACTTGTTGACAAGTTGCTACCGAAACTGAAAGCTGGTGGACACCGAGTGTTGGTATTCAGTCAGATGGTTAAGTGTCTCGATCTTCTCGAGGACTATTTGGTATACAAGAAGTATCCTTATGAGAGGATCGATGGACGAATTAGAGGTAATCTGAGACAGGCTGCTATCGATCGTTACAGCAAACCTGATTCAGACAGATTTGTGTTCTTACTCTGCACCAAAGCCGGGGGCCTTGGAATCAATTTAACAGCTGCTGATACTGTTATCATTTATGATAGTGACTGGAATCCACAGAATGACCTGCAGGCACAGGCCAGGTGCCACAGAATTGGACAGCAGAAGATGGTCAAGGTTTATCGTCTGCTGTGTCGTAATACTTATGAAAGAGAAATGTTTGATAAGGCCTCTATGAAGCTTGGACTTGATAAAGCCATTCTACAGTCTATGAATACTGCCCAGGGATCTGGGGGTAAGGATCCCGGCAATAAACAGCTGACGAAGAAAGAGATTGAGGATTTACTCAAAAAGGGAGCCTATGGGGCTATAATGGATGATGATACGGCTGGGGATAAGTTCTGTGAGGAGGACATCGATCAGATTCTCGAGAGGCGGACCCAGGTCATTACTATTGAGGCGGAGAAGGGATCCACTTTCTCGAAGGCTAGCTTTGCCTGTGCCTCCAATCGATCGGATATCAATATCGATGATCCCGATTTTTGGAACAAGTGGGCGAAGAAGGCAGAAATTGATACAACTGAGAAAAAGGAGGAGGAGGATTTAGTTATTTCTGAACCCAGGAGGAGGACTCAGATCAAACGATATGGGCATGATGAGTCGGTCGTTGATATGTCGGAGCTCGATAGTTCCGATGACAGTGATGATGACGGTGGATTGACAGGTAGAGGTATGTTTTTATGTGCATGCAGCACGAACCATTATCATTATCACGTCATGGTTATCGTATTGGTTTTAGATTTTGAGGGGACCGTTGGGGATAATTGCTGATGGTCGGGGAATTTTGGGGGGTTGCACATTTAAAAAATTCAGTACCAAAAAAAAGTCACTTTTCAACTCCAAACATCCTAGTTCCCTCGGGTGAAAAAAAAACAATTTCTCATTTTCGATCTTTTTTTTTTGTTTTTACGTATTTTAGTATCATTCACGAGGCGAATAGAGAATGTTAGCACTCATATCATCAGCAATTTGCCCCACGCGAATTCCATAAAATTTGTAAATTCTCTACCTCACAGTTAGTCTTCGTTGGGAATTAACGTAATCATTCTCACACTCATTTTCACAAATCAGCTTTGAGTGTTTCCCACCCCTTGGAAAAAAATTATAGGAATCTGTAGGTAGAAATGGGTTCTCAAATATATCTGACAATGAGTTTGGTGCTTTCCAGGGAAGAAAAGACGAGACAAATTCGGAAAGAAGAAGAAATACTGTGACGAGTATGTGCCAAGGGAGGGGGAGGTTGTGTATGGAAGTTGGGCGAGGAGTGAATGCTTCAAAGTTGAGCGAGGATTACTGACCTTTGGCTGGGGTCGTTGGGAGGAGATACTCCAGCACAGCCAGCTTCGACGTGGATGGCGTGAAATTGATATCGAGGATTGTGCTCGTGTCATTCTGCTGTACTGTCTGCGTTATTACCGGGGTGACGAAAAAATTCGTAGCTTTATATGGGATTTGATAACACCTCTGGAGAATGGAGAGAAGATCAAAACCATTACGATTAATCAAGCCAATAGAAATAGCAGGAATAAAAAGAAGAATAGCAGAGTCAGGGAGGGGGCCAGGGAGACCAGGGGATCCGCTATTAATGGAGGCCCCAGTGATCCCAATCATTGGAGTCATGCAGAAAAGTATGATGGGGACATTTTCCTCGAAAGCACCTACAGAAAACACCTCAGCAGACATGCAACCAAGTAAGTAAAGTTGTTTCCTTTCTGAAATTTCAAATGCCCAAACGATTTTCTAATTTTATTGATTCGCCTTCTACACCAATCAAGATATATTCTTTGCAAGAAAAGAAAATGAAATTAAGATGAACACAAAAAAATTAATGCTGCCATACTAACACGCCAAAAATTGCCATTAAAAATCAACCTGCCAACCAGCCCTGCTGTTGCGTACAATTTATTTAAGAGCCCCTTCTTCTGAAATTAATAAAATTGATTATAATTCCATAGCATCACAATTCTCTCTTCGAGAGTACCACATTCATAATCACATCCTTCCCCTCATTCTTTCCCCTCCTCTTTGTGAATTCCTCTTTAATCCCTTTAATGACATCTTCTGAACGCCACCATAAATTATAAATGATCTTTAATGACTCTTCTTTATATCCATAGGGTACTTTTACGAGTCCGCATGCTGTACTACATCAAGCACGAGATAATTGGAGACCTGGTGCAACACATCTCCGACGGTGTACACGTCAGGTCAGTAAATACATTTGTGACAAAGCAAAAGAAAAAAAAGGCTTTCTCTTTTAAATTTTATCAATTTATCCTTAAATTCTCTCATCATTACATTGTGCACTTACATATGTGCTTAAACAGTGCTTAATAGTTGCATGTGCAGTGTATTTGTTTATCATTGGGTCCTATAATGATCTCGAGGAATGCAAAATCCATTTTTCGTTTTTATCTCTCTGAATTTCAATAGTCAAGTGGTACGTCGATTCATTCAATTATCAATAATTATTTTTTTAAAACAATGATTATCTTTATGATCTGTTATAAAATCAGTCTCGAAAGGAGTCGATGACCCATGAAGGAAATAAAAAAAAAACAGAGCTTCAAGCTCATTCCACGGGAATTTTCGTTGAAACGACGAGCTCACGTTCACTGGACGAGCGTAGATGCATTTACTTTGGGGAAAATTGAAAAGTGCAAAAGAAGTCCTCGGAAAAATTTAATTTTCTCTATCCAATCAAGCCAACAAAAATTATTAACAAAAAAGTAAACCCTGCAATGAGTGAAAATGATGAGACACGTTAGACCACTTGATTATTGATTTAGTTAGATATTGTCTTCATGAATGGATAGACTGGGGGGTCGGTTTCACTTTGTTACTAATCAACTACTCCCCAAGAAATCATTGCAAACTCCTTGGTACTCTATCTTATTGTACGCACTGTTGACTATGCCAAAAATATTATAATTCACTCCGCCTCATCCGAGACGAGACAGCAGTTGTGTGCAGCGCTTTGAAGATGGTAAGGTAAATTCTTTGAGAAGCAGTGCACTGTATAAAGAGGGCAATGGTGTTTATTATTTTTTTTTTTATTTTCTGGAAATCAAAATTTCAAAATTATTTGTTACTTTATATGAAATTTAAAGAAAATGCGAAAGAAGATTTGACGATCTCGGTTGTCACTGGCCAGTGCTCGAGGTTTTTTACATTTTCATTAATTTTTATTGTCAATTGCAAGCCATTGGGAATATTCGACAAGACGGCAGTCAAATTTATCGATTACTCGATCACTTAGTCGGCCGGAATTCCATGGACAATTTACCTTTTTGGCAGATAATTTAGAGCACGTTTAAATTTTCCTCTTATCGTGGCACTCTAATTGTTTGATGCATAGGTTTTTTTTTATGTAGAAAGAAGAAGATAACACGGATTTACAGTCAGAGTTGGGGATGAACTAGTGGTTCTATCAAGCTGCATGCTGACTTATTTCGATAGTGAAGGGGTAAAACGTGAAAATGTAATAGAACATAAATTCATCACGATTTACCAATTCACGAGGGATTGTATTTTATCTACTCGGGAGCTAGTACTCTATTGAAAATTCTCATTAGAATCCTGTCCTCTATCTCGTTAATTAGCCATAGCAATGATTTAACGATTCATCGAAAATAAAGTATCAATCGAAAGAAATCTGGAGAGCAGTGATTGTGAAAAAAAAAAGAAATTGGTTGAGAGAGCAAACTGAAATCGTCAAGTCTTGATCAAAATTTTGGCCTTTTTTTTAAATTAAACCAAAAGAAATCGAAGAGACTCGTTGAGTGAGAAAGAAAAAAAAAATTGGCTGTTGAAAAATTGGCAAAATTTGTAAATGAAACCGCCCTACAGTGCGTTGCGGATAGATCCTCCTCAGTTACCGGAACGACCAACGAAATGGTGGGACGCTATGGCTGACAAGTCACTAATTGTTGGCTGCTACAAACATGGATACGAGAATTACGAGCAGATGAGGGCCGATCCCACGCTTTCTTTCATTTCAAGCTGCCCTCTCCCTTCCCAGACACAGACCAACCAAACAGAACAACCAAAGTGAGTACAATTAACTCAGTAATTCCTTTTTTACCCCCATTTTTTAAAATAAAATTATATTGTATTACTAGCCCACTATCCTCGGATGCCTTACTGCCTCCTACAAATTTAACACATAATTGCACGCTTAAATACATTCGCTTTACGTTTATGTTATGCCAGATGAAAAAACGATGAGAATTTTATGGAAAACGTTGAGACACTAGTGTCTCTTGGTGTATTGAATATAAACAAATTTTACATGATTTTTTTCATAGAAGGAAGCCAAGTCTCCACGAGAATACAATTGCACGGTAGAATTTTCTCTTGATGAATGATTTCCATTTTTCTACCGTATCTTGGCCAATTCTCGTTCTTCATCTTCATCTGCGGACTAGTCATTTTGTAGTGAAGTGGTGGGGACATATTCGACGTTTATCGACGGCCAAAGGACAAAATAAATAATTGACAATTCACTTTGGGTTCTCCAGTTTAAGCCAATTGTTGGTGAAACGGAATTATTCCTTTCAATTCAAATTCAATCTTCCGATCACGCATTTATTTCACTCCTCTTTGATCTCGAGGAAATTGAAGAATTTTTTTTTTGTGGAGAATTTTATTATTTGGACTACAAAAAATGCACTCTTTATATCTGTCCCGAAATAATCCTCAGTAAAGACGTTAATTAATTATAATTCCCAGATTAAGAGAGAATTGATGGAAAACTCTTCGTAGAAAAATTGATGGACTACGGAAACGTTTGATTATTTTTTAGGGAATTTTAAAGCTTTCGAATTTATTCAAAATTCATTGAATTTTAATCTCAACCAGAACTTTTCTGAATTGGTGAACTAAGATGAGTTTTCTTCTTCTGTTAAATCATTTTCTCACAACATAGTCAACGATTTGACAAAAAATCATTTTCCGAAAAAATGCACTTATCTTCATTTACCAATTGCCATAGAAATAATCCCGACGATATTCACAAATACTCTGAATTGCCACTTCTCTACAGAATTCAACGAATCAATATTTCGTGGAGGTGTTGAACAAATCGAGTGAACTCAATTGAAAAAATTTTCATTTAAAATCCGGTGAATGACGATGGATATTTTTGTTTTTTTTTGTAATTCAGGGAGGACAGTATCGAGCAAGACATCGAAGATGGCGAGGCTTCGACCGCCCAGAAGGATGGCAAGGATAGCGAAAAATTCGGCAGAGAAACTCCAGCTAATTCACCAGCCATATCCAGCAAAGCAGATACACCAGTGCCAGAGGCCGGCGGCAGTCATGATGGGGCGGAGGTACTCCTCGACGACGACAAAACGTGGCCATCAGTTGTCGACCTCAACACCCGGTTACGAAGAGTCATCTCTTCTTATCAAAGGAGTGTTGGTAAGAAGGAGGACATCAACAAGGGCCTGAAGGGGGCTAAGCCACCGATGGAAATGGAAATGACTAACCAGGCTGGAACGAACACTGGAGAACCTCCACTCAATATGCAGGGATGGGATCTTCAACAGCTTGCTATGTATCTTTTGGTAAGTCATTATTATAGTTATCTACTTATGAAACCTTTTTCCAGCCAGCTAATTCCAGGTATATTGAAGTATTTTGACAATTATTTCTTTCTTAAGATTGAAGTGTCTCCATGAATGACGAATTTTTCCGTAGTAAAAAAATATTCCTGTCTTTTTTCTCATAGAATTACTTATTAAGACTTTTGAGAGGAAAATTCGAATATAGTAGTATGAATACATAATTATTTCTACCTACTCTACCCTTCCATCCTTTCTATTCATTAGAACCCAACGAGAAGTAAGAACTTGATGAGAGAAATTACACAATATTTCACTTTGTGCTCATTAAGATTTAGAAGCACTCCAGAAATTTCAGGAGGTATTACATCTTTTTATGCTCTTTGCAACTTGTTAATACTAAGGGAGTATGCGATTTGGCATTGGAGAAAGTAATTAAAATTAATACCTTCCGATAAAAAGTAAATCAATTTTTCAGCGTGTAATTTTTTTTTCGTGAAGCTGTCCTTGAATGCTTCATAACAAGGCATATTTTTCCAGAAAATGGAGAGGCGAGAAAAAATGGAGCAAATGGTGAAAGAGCGCGAGCGCACACGCATTGAGGAGCAAAAAGCCAAATGGAGCCGCAGGGAAGAGAGCGAATTTCTCCGAGTGGTTTCCACCTACGGTGTTAATTATGACCGTAAAAAAGCTCAGTATGACTGGACAAAATTCAAGAGCCTAGCGAGATTCGACAAGAAGTCTGATGCCGATCTGACAGACTACTACATGTCCTTCCGTGCAATGTGCAAGAAGGCATGTAACTCCAAAGGTGCCGAGGAGGAAGGTGTGTTCCGTAAGTGCTTCGTTTTTTTTTATTTACCCCGTTTTATTTTTATTTGCGTTAATCAATAATAACCGAGGTTTCGCATCAAATTGCACAGCCATTGCATTTATACTACTGAATAAATAATGGACGAGAGTCACCGAGAAAACTATTTTTGCTGTGACTGAATTTTTGATCCTGTACGTTCAACTTCTCGACAGAAATCTTACAAAATATCTCTGACCCGCAATTTCATGCAAAATCTCTTCAAGTGACTCGAAAAATTCCAATAATTGATTTCAATTTCAGACATTCCTATCGATCAGCTGAGCCCGGGAAGAGCGAGGCAAATTCTCGATCGCGTAGATCTCTTAAGTAAAATTCGTGAAGAGATTCTCTCTCACCCACATCTGGAAGAGAGATTATCCCTATGCCAGCCCTCAGGAGACACTCCAGACTGGTGGGTGCCAGGGAGACATGATAAGGAGTTGCTCCTAGGTGCAGCCAAACACGGCTTGGGTCGTACAGACATAACAATTCTCAATGACCCCGACTTTTCGTTCCATAAAATTCTCGGCAAGAGTATTTTCGGTGGAATTCCACCAGCGAAAGCAGCAGTACCTTTCGATAAATCTGACAAGGCGATTAAAATCGAAAACAGGGATGACATCCTCAAATTCGATAAGGACGAGATCTTGGTTAAACTTGAGAAGGGCGAGGGAACCCTGAAAATCGAAAAAGTAGGTTTCAAAAGAGACAGTTCACTTCCTCCTCCTGACAAGAAGCTAGACGTGCCAGAGAAAGGTCGAGTTGAGTTGACAATTGTCAAGACCGAGGGTAAATCTGATGAGAAGACGCCTAAGAGCTGGTTAACCATCACAGCTCTCTCGTCAAAATCTCCTGAACTCGATAAAACCTCAGAAGTCTCTGCAGACGCCGATAAACCGTCTGAAGAGACTCCTGAAGGCGAGAAAACTCAAGAAAAACCAGTAGTTGAGACTGAAGCAGATGAGAAGGAACCTGAATCCAAAATAACTGAAGTCGAGGCGGAAACACCGGCAGAAAATACAGAAAAACTTGAAGAAAAAATTGCAGCGACAGAAAAGGAACAGTTAGAAACCCCTGAAAAGGACAAGGATGAGGAAATTGAAGAGAAATCAAAAGATAAAGATGCAGAATTGCATCATGAAGAAGAAAAAGCTCCAAAAACTGACGAAGAATCTTCAAAAGAGACTTCTCAACCCTCAGAGGAGTTAAAACCCCCTGAAGAAACTTCTCCAGATATCAACCCCTGTAAAGAAGATGATAAAATTCCTAAAGAGGTTGAAAAATCTGAAGTTTCTCCAGAGGGGATGGAAGTTGAGTCCTCAGAGGTAACAGTTGAGCCGTCCAAATCACAAGAAGCTGCAGAAAAATCGCCAGAGGCCGCTAAATCCTCAGAAGACTCCACAATGGATGTCCAGGAGTCCGACGATGCCTCAAAGGCTCCAGAAAAACCAAAAGACACTCAGTCAGAAGCAACCGACTCGGCTCTACTCGACACCAAACCAGTATCGTTAGTAGAGGAGAAATCAACAGAGGTTGATGAAAAAACGCTAGAACCGTCCTCGGAGAAACCAGAAAAGACCCCGGAGGTGGCCGCAGCCCCTGAAGACAAGCCCGAAAAATCTCCTTCAGTGAAGGAACAAGTCCAAGAGATTCCTGAAGAAAAAACCGAGAAGGAAGCCTCGAAAACCTCAAAAATCGAGGATAAGGGGAGTATTCAGGCGGCAGAACTCAAGGCCATGTTCCCAGACCTGGAGGTGATCCAACCACTGTCCAGATTAACCCAGATTGATACATTCGTCCTTCGAGACAAGTCTGACTATCCCGAGCCTCCGATTCCTCCTCTGCTCCCCCACAACTTCCCTTCGTCAGTGAAATGGCCGAAGGAACATGCAGTTGAGGCCAGATTGATGCACATTGTCCATGCGATTGAGCACAAGGAGTGGCCAGTGGCTATGAATTTCACAGCTGGTGACGAAGTCGAGATTCTTTCCGCTGATAAGGACAATTCCGAGGTAATTACAATCACCACTGATCACGGAGTATCGAGGGCACTAGCAGCAACCACCAACAATCTCTCGTCTAAAAAACGAAAGAGACACATTGCGATTGACGTTGAGACTGAGAGAGCAAAGCTCCATGCATTATTGAACAGCAGTCATATGACATCACAGCCTCCTCAGGCTCTTAGTAAGCCCTCGGTGCTTTCAGGCTCGTGGGATTTAACTGAAGAGTCTCAGTCCGAGGACTCGAGGAGATCAACTCCCCAGCCTCCACCAGCTCATCAGCAAACGAGAAATTCAGCATTCGATCTGAAGTACACAGTCCCTGGGAAGACAACGATTATCCCAGGTACGTCGAGCACACTCACCCCCATCGATCTCTCTGCTGGATACATGAAGACATCGTCCAACGAGGTCAGTAAAGACATTATGAACGAAGTTCAGGACTTCTCGATGCCCAGCAAGAACAAGCAGCCCAGCAGCAACAAGGGAAAATTAGACAGTATGTTGGATAAATTAATGAAAAGAAAGAATGTACCAGTGGATGAACCAGTAATTGGTAAAGAGAAGAAACGAAGAAAGCTCGATGAGATCGTACTGGGTCTGAGTGCAGCAAAAGAACAGCAAGGCACTCACTTCCCCGAGCACAACAAGAAGAGTACAATCACCCCTAATGTGACAGTGACCCCCACATCAGCTCCAATTGGGCTTCCAACCCCTCCAGCGCCTGCCCAGAAACCGTTCTCTATAACCGTAACATCTATTCCATCATCCAGAGCTTCAAGCTCCAGCCATCAGCCACCACCATCTCTCCATTCTCACAAGGATAGTTTCTCAGCCCTGCTGGCACAAGCAGAGCAGCAAAATCGTGACCTCAAGAAACAGCAACAGCTGCACGCCGCCCACTCGAGTCAATCAAATCAACAGCTTCAACAGCAGTTGCAGCAACAACAGGCTTTCAACTCTGGCCACATGTCCTCTAGCAGTCATCGCAAGAGCTACGAGGCGATGATAGCTGATATAAATAAAGTAGCTGAATACTCATCGAAAATAGGTTCATACTCTCACGAGGCTAAAGTTAACAAGTGGCTGGCAGAGCAAACAGCAATGTCCGATCAATTATCAGCTGAATATCTCAATGCACCGAGAAGACGTCGTCCACGTGTCGATCCATCACTGCTTGACTGGAAGAAGCTTACTGGTGAAGAGAACGTTGCTGTGATTAACAGAATAACTGGTAAGAAAGTAACTGGCAGTAAAGCACCACAATTGAAACGTCTTGGCCAGTGGTTAATGGAGAATCCCATGTTCGATGTAGATCCTAAGTGGGCTGAATTGGTGAAGGAACGTGGAAACTTGCCTCACGATTTGCAGAAGAGATTGCCAGGACAAGAGAGAAGCAGTAATAAAGGTAAAACACCAGGTAGACCACCAATGATGCCAAGCCCAACGAGTCAACAGCAAACCAGTCAGAATTTAGCTGCAACATCAATGGCATCACAGCTCAATTTCCCAGGTCTGGGTAATCTTAATAATTCATTATTATCAGGCTTATCGTTGGGTAATTTTGATCCAAAGAACAATCCCCTGTTGATGCCATTTGGTGGACTACCTAATTTGGGAGCACTTGGGGGTCTCGGTAATCTCGGTAATCTCAGTAATATGAGTTTAACAAATTCACTTTTCGCCAATCTTGCTGGTCTCGGTCTGCCATCATTGGCAGGCATGGAGGCACTCAGTGCATCAGCAGCTGCTACTAGTTCTGCCGAGACTAATGTTGTTAATTCATCAAGCAAGACGACAACAACGAGCACGAGTAGTTCTAGTAAATCCAGGTCCAAACAGATGGATCCACCAACCTCAAAATCATCAGCACCATCGACCTCGTCGAGTTCTTTACCCACAACCACACCATTCCCATTTTTCTTCCCTAATCCAAGTCTGCTTTATACGCCACTTGGTCTAGGGGGATTGAATCCATTCTCGATGCAACCTGGTGGTGTCTCATCGGCCTACGAGAGTTTGGCTCAGTGTGGCCTATTGAATCCACCGACTTCCACGGCCTCGAGCTCAAGGAAGTCGACCTCCTCCACAAGTAGCAGCTCGAGACGAGAGTCCACTGCTGATATGTTGAAGCGTAAAGAATCTGAGAAGAAATCGGCAAGTGCTGCATCTAGGTATCAGATGGAGTCGTCATTGGCGTTACAGGCTTATACAGACGCCATTCACGCTGAGGAGAGAAGAAGGAGTGAGGTGGAAAAGAAGGAGGCCCTTGAAATCAGTGAAATTGCTGACCTATCAGCCAGGATGGAGCGAAAGAGTAAGGAGCAGGAGATGAAGGAGGCCCTCGAGCAATTGAGCAGAACGAGTGCTGAGTTGTTTACGAGAACCATCGAGGAAACACAGAGGCCCCAGAAACGAAGCAGAACATCAGAGCCTGTTCAGGAAACCCCATTGCCAGCTTCACTCGAGGTGACACTTGAACCTGTGGTGAAGAAGAGTCGTGTGGAGGCTGAACACAAAACACCCTCCATCTCATCCTTCAGTGATATCGCCGAAGAGTCCCCAACGAAAACCACAAAGTCTCACACCCCATCGTCGACTCCAGCATCCACTCCCCAGCCCACACCTGCCTCAACCCCAACCCCAACCCCAACTCCAACAACAACACCAGCACCCAGACTAGCGACACCCCAACCACAGGAGGAGGTCACCTCCAACACATCCCTCAACACCTCCTTAAACACCTCGTCAAATAGTAATAAAGAGTCTGTTGACTCACACTCTGAGGATCCCAAGGAATCTCCATCATCAAACTCGAAATCAGAGAGCACAAAGTCGAGTTTTGAGCATGAGGAGGAGACCAAGGGAAAATCCACTGGAAAAAAGTCGAGGGGAGCTAAACGAGTGACTGTTGAGCCCCCTGTAGAGAGGAAGAACCTCAGATCAAGTGCTGGACGACAGGCCAGAGCTGCTGCTGAGCGGCAAGCCAGGATGGAGGGAGAACTGGCTCAGCAGGCAGCTGAAGAGGCACAAAATAATGAGTGAGGAAGGTCTACACGACGCAAAAGAAATGGGTGATAACAAACTTCCCATTAGAAGTAAGTCATCCAGTCTTTTGGCGTCATCTTATATCAATCGAGGCTTAATGAAATTGAAAAATAAGTGAAAGCGCAGGAACTTTCAGTGACATAGACTACGTGTTCATGTAGTGAGTTTTTAAACAAATTGCAAGTTAATGAGAGTACGCTGAACACATGTAGTTTTGGTGTGGCGAAACAGACAATTATGTGGTGACAGCGAGAGATTCATGGAAACAGATACAACGCAATAGTATTTTGTGGTATAATACATTGTGTGGTAATCCCTAACAATTAGTGATTGAAGTAATTAGGGTTAAAATGAGGATATAATTTTTGTTAAATTTATTATTCTACAATCATTCTTTTTTTTCCTTCTTATCGACTTTTTATTTTTGATCTTATTGGTTTATTGAACCAGGGACTGTTTTATATACTGCTATAAACATGATTATATATTATTATTATTATGCATAATAATATAACCCGTACGATGAAATATTGATTAAAAGATAGTAATAACTTAATTATGATGAGAGTAATTCAATGATTAAGACAATGAAACGAAAACAGATAACTTGTACATATTTGCAGTTAATAATAAAGGAAAACAACAATCTGCCTAGTTATTGTAAACGGTTGAAGAAATTGGAGATAATCGTGTACTTGGACAAGTGTATATAATGCAGTGTACTTTTAATTATGAGAAAACAAAAGAGGTGAAATAATAAATGGCTTCTTTTGTTGTTTGCAAGAACGTGATTAAATATTAAATGAAACAAAATGAAATTGTTGGAATAGTCGTTTATTTTATTCATTAATTAAAATATTTGGGTTACATTGGTTTTTTTCGGGAGGGGGTTTATTCGGTTTTTTGGGACTTGAGGGTCACATTGTACTGCTCAGGTCGCAGGGGTGAGGGACCATTCGAAGGTAGCCCTTCCCTGATGGAAGTTTTATTGTTTTTAGCTTATCAGCGTACGTTTTCTGGGCTTCTTCGTCGCTCACTGTTGGCTGGACCATCACGTCATCTCCTTTCTGAAAAGTACAATGTTTTGAGAAAGAGGAATTCATTCGACAATATCCCTTAAACATTCTAATTGTTCTCGGGATAGTTACGTGTGTTTTAAAAAGTTCTTTTCTGATAGAAAGGCAATTCTGGTTTTTATTTTGAAAACTTGAATACAAACCTTCCAATCAACTGGGGTTGCCACTTTGTGCTGTTCTGTCAGTTGCAGAGACTCGATAACTCTGATTATTTCGCTGTAATAAAAGATTGTAATTATGCAATCGAGAATAAATAGGTGAGAGGAAGAGAAAAAAAAAGTTACTCGAAATTTCGGCCAGTAGTAGCGGGATAGAGAATCGATAATCTCATTTTCTTCTTTGGGTCTATGATGAAAACGGCTCTGGCAGCTGCGGGCAGCCCATCCTTATCTGTCTCATCGGGGTCCAACATACCGAGACTTGTAGCTATCTTACGAGATTCATCTTCAATTATGGGATAGGGAAATCCATCTATGGAAACACCAGCATAACTTTTGATGTCCTAAATTATAAGAACAACTGATTAATCTCCAGATCATCATTCGACAATCATATAATTTCCCTCATTCAATATGTAAAATGAGGGGAAAAAATAATAATTAATAATTATGAATTAATTCATGGTAATTATTACTTTGATCCATTCGATATGTGAGTCGACTGAATTACAAGATAATGCAATAGGCTTAACACCGAGCCTCTGGAAATCTGGCATCAGCTTCACAACTCTCGCCAATTCCGTAGTGCAAACTGGAGTGAAATCGTTGGGATGAGAGAATAGTATTCCCCATCTATTCCATAATGACAAAATCCTTCATCATTGAGTATTAAACGAAAACAATACGATTGATAAAAAAATAGAGTTGACGTACGAGTTCCCCAGCCACTCGTGGAAATTGATCTTTCCGACGTTTGTATTTGTATCAAAATTTGGGAATTTCTCGCCCAGCAGCACCATGATGACTCGAGTTATTGGATATATATGGATTATTTAACAGCCTACGAAAAGAGTCACTTAATTTTATGATTTTCTTCAGTAAAAAATTGACCACCGGTTTTTTGCGTTTTTTACACGTCGCAGCAGCAAACTTTATAACCTAAATTATGTCATGTTCACCAACATGGCAACTAAAGAGGGTATGGGGGGGGATATGAATGCTTTTTGTTTTTTATTTGTTTAACTGAAATTTAGCCGACTCTAGAACGAGCGGAAGGGGAAAGCCACATCTTGTGGAAGTTCAAGTGGAAAAAAGTGGTCAATATATTGAAGATATACTACTAATTAAATTATAATTTCATAATGAGCACGTTGCCTAGTGGGCAATGTGCTTGGCTGGCACGCGGACGGCTAGGCTTCGATGCTAGCCATCATTCATTTTTTTTTTAATCAAAATCATTCCAATTGTTTTTTTTTAATAACTAATCAATGGAAATATCGTTTAAAAACTGAATTTTTCAAAATTGAGAAGATATCCAGTGAAATTGAAAAATTAGCAATTTTTTAAAACGATACTTTTGCAAAATATATACTCCTAATGAAATTATTTTATTGTAATAGTGCGTTATCCTAGCGGTAACGTGCTCGGCTAGCACGCCGACGGCCCGAGTTCGATCCCGCCGTCATTCATATTTTTTTTTAAATAATTCCAATTTTACCTTTTGTAAATGGCTAATCAATCGAAATATTGGTTAAAAACTGAATAGCTCTTCGATTGTCATGTTCCCCTGATACTTTTACAAAAATTTTGAATTTTTCACTTGCAGTGAAAATGGGCATTGACTAAAATAGAGGCTCAGTTCTAGGAATTTGAGTGACACCATCGGCATTCTAGAATTTCACCCCAAGAGGGCGCCACACGCAATGCGCTGGCGTGTCTTCCCGTCAGCCGACTCGGTAACTGCCTCAGTAGCAGTCCCGCTGTCAGAGGGACCAGTTCAGCGGGTGAGTGTTACTTTCTGCGTTAGAAAATTGGTTTCTGTTTTTTATTATAACATTTCCATACTCGCCTGATACTTGTTCAAAAATTTTGAATTGTCGAATTTCCGTAAATACCTCCTCGATTCTCATGGTCCCCTGATACTTTTTCAAATATTTTGAATTTTCAAATTTCCGTGAATACCTCCTCGATTCTCATGCTTCCCTGATGTTTTTTTGAAAATTTTGAATCTTTCAATTTCAGTGAATACCTCCTCAATTGTCATGCTCTCTTGATACTTCTTCAAAAATTTTGAATGTTCGAATTTCCGTGAATACCTCCTCAATTCTCATGCTTTCCTGATACTTTTTCAAAAATTTTGAATTTTCAAATTTCCGTGAATACCTCCTCGATTCTCATGATCCCCTGATACTTTTTTGAAAATTTTGAATTTTGCAATTTCAGTGAATACCTCCTCAATTGGCATGCTCTCCTGATGTACAACCAGCGTTTGAATCAAAGAGGATTGACTGAAGTAGAGGGTCAGTTCTAGGAATTAGAGTGACCCCACCGGCATTCTAGAATCTCACCCCAAGAGAGAGGGTGCCACACGCAATGCGCTGGCGTGTCTGCTCGTCAGCCGACTCGGTAACTGCCTCAGTAGGAGTCCCGCTGTCAGAGGGACCAGTTGAGTGGGTGAGTGTTAATTTCTGCGTTAGAAAATTGGTTTCTGTTTTTTATTATAACATTTCCATACTCCCCTGATACTTGTTCAAA